ATTGCCCTTAAATGTCTACCAAATAACAATAAACCTAGATCCTCTACATTTTAGAATTTAGCTAAAACACTCCAGCCACAAAAAGTTTAAAAGTTAACAAAATAACCCCAACCACCAAAGACCACTGCTGGCCGCCAGCCACCACCGTCGGCCACCAGAAATAGTTGCCATATTGACGCACGATCGACGAGATCTGGCCAACCGTGCGCCAATCTGGTTGTTTATGACCAGATCAAAGGCCGAAAACGGTCAGATTGTCGTGGATTTGCTTGGAAACAGCCAGAATAAATCGACCATTTGTGGCCGTTTTCGACCAGATCCATGATGATCTGGTTGTTTTCAGCCTTCGATCTGATCGAAAAAAGCCAAATCAGCATGAATTTGGCTGGAAACAGCCAGATCCACTGTGATCTAGTTGTTTTTAGCCTTCAATTTGGTCGAAAACAGCCAAAATGGCGCAAGACTAACATGATCTCACCTGTCGTGCTTCGTTTTGGTGACTGACGCCGGTGGCCAGTGGTCAGCAGTGGTTTTGGGTGACTGAGGGTATTTTGTTAAAATTTAAACTTTATTGTTGGGGGTGTTTTGGTTAAATTCTCAAATATAGTGGGTTAAAGGAATTTATTTAAATAATTATTATTATTATTATTATTATTATTTTTTATAATGATATTAAAAAGAAAAGGCAATTCAGTAAAAGCCTCTGTCGATAATATTTTATTTTATACTCACTAATCTAACAAAACATATTGGTGTAACATTTTCCCGTAATCTTCAAGGTAATCTATCACTGAGATAATCCTATCTTTTGAGCAATAAAACATTCCCTAGACCAAATGCATATCTATATTCATGCTCATATTAAACTCCTCTTTTATATCCAAATTTGACAGAAAATTTTGTTACCTTCACAGGATAATGGCAGAGAAGAGGAAGGCTACTTATGTCACCAGTCTGCAAGTAGAAAGCCTCGCTTAAAGGACAACTTGACACACTGATAAAATCAGCAATTAATTTAGATTAATCCAAAAATAATTAACCAAACACAGGATATAATTTAATAATAATTAATATGTTAATTTCTTACTCAGCATTAGAAGGGGAGATCATGGCAACCCAATCACTTTCTGCAGGAAGCAAAACTCCACTGACCGTCACCGTCACAAACTCTTCATCAGAGAGGTCAGAGCTTTTGCTAACATTAACCTGGAGATAAGGGTTGGGATCAGGACACTCCGTCAAAACTCTTCTGTTCAGCACACGAAACGCAGATATGGCGGTGTGGTTACGGTGTTCATAAACCGAGTTGGCAACAAAAGGATGCAACAACGATGAACAAAAACCAGGAAAGAACAAAACCAAGAAGAAACACAACAGTTTCAGAAAAACCCTGTTGGAAGAAACAATGGAGGGTGCCATTGCATGCAGTGATTCGGAATCAAGAGACATAATTGTGACAAATTTATTTATACATATATATAATAAGAATAAGATTACAAAAACATTGTAACACACATCAGGGCGAATATTACGTGGTTGATTATAACTGTCACTTTTGTCTCCTGTGTATAAATGATTTGCATGATCATTGGTTAACAAATAATTAATTGAATTCCTTCCTTAATTAACTTGAAAAAAGATGAGTTCAGAGAGAGCTGTCATGGCTACGTATGCGGTGATCAGTTTTCTTCCTGTCAATTTCGTTTGATTTAACTGGTTTATTTCTTCCAAACATGATGAATAGAGGCAGAAAAGCAATCTTATTGTCGTATAGATATATACATGATGAGTCGTTTTAAGGAGTTAATTAGTGCCACTTTTGGTGATGATCTGCAGTGCCGTGTTTTAGAAGTCCAGAATACATGTCAAATAAGTGAAGTTTGAACGTACGTAACCTCGGCTTTTCTAGTTGCCGTTCCCATTTGGCAGCTCCTACAGGTTTAGTGTCAATAATTTCCCAATTAGTCAGTTCATATTATTTCTGAAAATCATGCAGTAATTTACACCAACCAGAGCTATGTGGGTAATCTAGACGGATCGACAATGAAGCACGGTTGAAAGAAGTGATATGTCTTTACAAGAGTTTTTAATACGGTTTCTATTACCTATTTTTGTCGTCCCCCAAAAATAGATTATAATAAAGTTTATATAGTGAAAATTACATAGCTGAGTTAGAGATAAACTCGAATTCAATGAAACAAGAAAGAGAATGATCTTTGGCTTTGAATGATGGAACCCATATGGCAAGGTATCTTCATACCAAAAAAGGATTTATCCATTCAGGATTTCCCACATAACAATATGCATACCCAATCGAATATTCTATAATCTATTCCATTTAAGTTTATGTTTAATTTATTTTTGTTGGCTAAAAGTTAAAAATGCAGCCTTACTAGCAAAGTTAACGCCCAGCTATTTTGAGAGTGACAATAAGAATAATACGTCCAACTGCTGATGAATAAAATAACTTCATAAGGCGTGGGCCATTTAGATAAGAGCCCTGGTCCAATTCAAGTGGTACAAGAATCAAGAATTTGGCCCACTAATCCCAAAGCAAAACAAAGATTTTGGCCCAAACCTTGGTTAAAAGTGATACTTCTACGTGTTCTTATCTTTTTTTAACATATTAGTTGTGTTTTTTTTTTGTTTTTTACGAGGTGTTCGAACTAGTTTATACACATCTTAACTAATACTCGAGACTCATTAAGCACTTTACAAGTCTAATATTTTAAGTAAGCCACAAATGTATGTGATATATGACCCTAAGATGGGTCGAAACTAGAAAGTCAATGAAAAGAACAAACTTTCTTGATGGTCAAACCGATCCTTGAGGTTAGAGGTGGACAAAGTTGGACCCAAGTAATCCTGGGCCCGAGCCCTCAAGGATTGGTCCCAAGCCCAAGCCTAGCTTATATAAGACTGTCCTATGCAAGCCTAGTAAATATCCATTTACCCTCCTAAATTATTATATATTTTGGGTAATAATAATTATGTAAGAGGGCTTCTGTAATTTATCAAAGGCTAATTTGTAATGTTTTAATACATTTCATATATTATAAGAGGTTTTAGTTATTTGGTAAGAGGGTTTTGGTTATTTGGTAAAGGGTATTCTGAAATTAACTAGGCCCGGTCCCAAGACGTGGGATCGGCCTGCGCCCGGTCACCCCTCCCCAGGGCCCGGGCTTTTTGCCCAGCTCTACGGCTGAGGTTTCAGTTGTGGCTTTTAATAGCAGTTAAGAGCCCATAAAAAGGGTTTGGGCAACAGTAAGCTTTATGACAAGTTAATGGGCATGCTGCAAATGGGAATTTGAGTGTGCAATTACTTGAAGACATTAAAATTAGTGCTCTAAATGGGCACCCACCTTCCTTAAACTTAGATCTTCTTGAATACTGAGTTTATAGAGTTTAAACTTGTGTCTCTGACACTTGCATGCCCGTGACTGAAGCCCCACCCACCATCAACCTGAGATTAAACAAACACTAGATCTTGTCTCTTTCATTAATTTCTCTTCTCTTGTCTAAACTAAAATTATTTCAGCTTGGAAGAAGTTACTAAATTTGCCAGTTTAATTAATCTCACATACATCCATATTAGTGGTCCTTTATCCCCTTTTGTTTTTTTACCTCATCTTCCAACACAATCTGCCAAAGTTTTTAGCTGAATTTTAGAGGAATTTTCCCACTTATCTTATTGAGTTTTGAGAATCACCATTTACAATGCCCCGCCCCACATACTTACAAAAACTTCCATCTCTTGAAAACTCCCCCCTTTAAACATTGTTAGAATCGATAGAACCGCTTTAAGACAATCTCATATAATATGCCAATTCATTTGTTTTGTCTTTCTAATAATATAGGTCACAATCTAGTCTAACCTAAACAAACCAAATGCAATCTATCCGTTCTTTTAAATTAAGCCCTTACCTAGGAAAAATCTACTATTTGCAGGTACATCTTCTTTGTACTTATTGAGCTTTTGTAGATTCCTTCTCAGCTACCTCCAAAGTCCAAACCACCCCACCTACAAAATCTTCTTCACTTTGAGGTTTGATTTAGAATTTATACTGATAAATCTCACATTTTCAGCAGCTGGCCTTAAAACTAGCTACTAGTTGGTGTGATTGGCATATTTTTGATCGCCCTATAAATGGAGACGAAATTTTACATGGATAACATCATATATATGAACAAGTGGGGTTCTGTATTTGCATGCTGGGGATGTTGATCAGCTAAAACAATGACAGATTCTTTGTGTTGTCCTATCATACTTGGCTTATATATACATTATTGTCGGACGCAACTGATGAGTCTCTGCAGGATGTTTTGCAGTAACAGGATGCATATTAGCCTTAGGGTTAGAATATGCCTTCTGCACCACCCAAATTTCATCTATTGTAGAGAATCTTCGATGTAACAGAGCATATGTATTCAACTAATCATGAAGTACTCGATATAAAAAAGCGATAACATGTTTATCTCAACCATTGAAATATTCTAGTTACATATTCTGCAAATTGGAAGGCAACATTTAGCCAAGGAATAGTATCTGTGATTGTGCATATCTTGAAAGGAGCCAATGTAGGAAAGTGCTGGCCACTGATACTACCACCACAACCAAAACTTTGAAAAAATTAAAGAAAGATAAAAAAGAAAGAGAGAGAAAAGCAGAAAGAAGGAAACAAACATATAGCTTAGTGGCATCATATATATTCCCACTAGCATTTAGCAGATTCAGCTTATCAAAATGGATGATGTGGTTTATCACTAATCCTAGATTTTGGCATGATCTTTTTGAAATGAAAATGGGATTATGATTTTATATTGTCAAAACAAAAAGCCATTGAAGTTTAGATACTCCCAAGTACTCCCAACCAGGACTCTCCACCCCTAAAGTTAAAATGTTCTATCTACTTTTGGCTTTTCCTAAAATCTTCTTGTTTTTTTGTCTTTAATATAAGAAGAAAGTACCTAGTGCATAGTCTTTGGGTTTTTGAAAAGAAAACATATAATGGATTTGGAGGCACCTGTAAAACGCTCCCTTGCAATCCCCACTATCACCCACTAGGCAACAAGAAAGGCTGTTGTTTTGTTTTGGTAGAGCATGTTTGGATTGGAGCATAACACCAAAGTTTGGCCAGCTCTTATTCCCATCCATGTCGCATAATGACAAAGAAAAATCAACAGAGAGAGAGAGAGAGAGAGAGAGAGAGGGAAACACGCTTCATTTTTTTAGAGGGAGAGAAAGTAACAAACGGAGAAAGAAAGTAAAAAGAGTAAGTGCACTCTTGTATTGTATTTCAAGAAATTCCATATTCGTCTGACCCCCCCAAAGGACAACAAAACAATGAAGACAAAAACAACCTCTTGTGTTGTCGCCAAAGCAGCCATGGAAAAGTCCTTCAAGACAAGAGCTTTAATTCCAATTCGCTCACTTTGCAACAAATCCCTAGCCCACAAACCCAACCTAATTCCTCTTAACCCACTTTGGTGGATTAAGAGAGTTTCCTCAACCTAACTTCAACTGTTTTTGAGGGTCTTTATGGGTTTTTGCTGAATTTTGTAACCCACCTGGGAGTTTTAACCTACTGCTCTGTTTCATAAGTAAATCTCAGGAGCAGCTACTGTGCTTTCTCTGGTGAGTTCTTGTGGCCGATTATTGATTTTGACTGCTTAATTTTGGGGAATTCTTGAAAATCTATGCATGCCCGCTTGAGCTTGCTCTCTGTTTTTAGTTAAGAAACATAAATTTGCTTTTGTTTCCGGTATACTGTATATTTTGGTTGCTGAAAAAATGTCTGTAAAGAGTAGTGATAACAATTCTGAAGCCAAAAATGCTGAATTTTTCACTTAACCGAGCCCCGTACAACTGTTTTTGGTTAGTCATGTTTAGTATTAATATGCTTTTGGAGATAGTACAAAAAGTAAACGTAAGAAACATGATCTTGTTTTCCATTTTCTCTATTGAAATTATGTTAGTATGTCGCAGTTAAATGGTTCGTTTAACAAGTCATCTTATATTCTACTGAAAATTCGAAGAGGGAACCAGCATCTTGTATTCTTAAAATAAGAATAATCACATGCTGAATAGTGTTATTTGCTCACTTAAAAGAGGACATGGACGATGAGGAGAAACCAACTATGTTTTGTTTCTACAAAAAGTTTTTTCATATAACAGATTTAAAATGTTTTTTTTCTTTCTAATCATCTTCAGATTTTTTTTGGCAACCTGATGATCTCATTCTGGCTATCTTTGGTCTCAGCTTCCATTTAAGGCACGGAGTTTGTTATTATTGTTAATGGCAGGAATGGTTCAAGAGGAGGGATCATCATCTGTAACTTCTTCACCCCTTCAGTTCTTCTCCTGGATGTCACTGTCTCCTGGGTTTGGATCACAGTATCCATGGCTTAGGGAGCTAAAATCTGAAGAGAGGGGTTTGTGCCTGATCCATCTCCTTGTTGCTTGTGCAAACCATGTTGCTGCAGGTAGTGTTGAGAATGCAAATATCAGTCTTGAGCATATTTCCCACCTTGCTTCTCCGGACGGCGATACCATGCAGCGAATTGCTGCATATTTCACTGAGGCACTAGCTGATCGAATGCTTAAAGCTTGGCCTGGTCTCCACAAAGCCCTCAATTCCACGAAGATATCATCAGTAACTGAAGAAATACTTGCCCAGAAGTTATTCTTTGATCTCTGCCCCTTCTTGAAACTTTCGTATGTGATCACAAATCAGGCAATTATAGAAGCCATGGAAGGAGAGAAGATGGTGCATATTATTGATCTTCATTCTTTTGAGCCTGCCCAATGGATCAACCTTCTTCAGACGTTAAGTGCACGCCCAGAAGGCCCACCCCATTTGAGGATTACTGGTATACATGAGCGGAAAGAGGTACTGGAACAAATGGCTCTTCGGTTGACCGATGAGGCTGAAAAATTGGACATCCCGTTCCAATTTAACCCAATAGTAAGCAAATTGGAGAATCTTGATGTTGAAAGTTTACGTGTAAAGACTGGAGAAGCTCTTGCAGTCAGCTCTGTTCTTCAGTTGCACTCGCTTTTGGCCATGGATGATGAGATGCCCAAGAGGAACTCACCAACAGCATCAAAAACTCAAAACTCTAGTCACTTGCAAAGAGTCTTGCAGATGAACCAACGGACACTAGGAGAGTGGCTTGAGAAAGATTCTGTTCATTTGTACAGCCCAAGTCCTGATTCTGCATCAGTGTCAACCCCACTGTCTTTAGCTGCTTCCCCAAAGATGGGTAGCTTTTTGAATGCCCTTTGGGGTCTTTCACCAAAGTTGATGGTAGTAACCGAGCAGGAATCCAATCATAATGGTTCTACTTTAATGGAGAGGGTCATGGATGCATTGAACTTTTATGCGGCATTGTTTGATTGCTTGGAGTCCACCTTACCCAGAGGATCGATAGGGCGGCAGAAGGTGGAGAAGATGCTTTTTGGAGAAGAAATAAAGAACATCATAGCATGCGAGGGGACTGAGAGGAAGGAAAGGCATGAGAAGCTTGAGAAATGGATTCTGCGACTTGAATTAGCTGGGTTCGGGAGGGTGCCTTTAAGCTACCATGGTATTTTGCAGGCTAAGAGGTTGTTGCAGAACTATGGCTATGACGGGTATAGGATCAAAGAAGAGAATGGATGTCTGGTTATTTGCTGGCAAGATAGAACCCTCTTTTCTGTTTCTGCCTGGAGGTTTAGGAGGTATGACTGAAATCATTGACCATGCAGGAAATTTGTGTGTCTGTGTGTTTTATTTTTTCCCTTCTTTTTTTTTTTTTTTTTTTTCCTACTCTGTATAAAGGAACCTAAGTTTTACTTTATCTGAAATTGCATAGTGTTTCCACAAAAAGGTTTGAACAACTTCATCCTCTGATCCATTTTTTTTTTTGTGTTTTAGTTCTCTAAGGTTGCCTCTGACAAACTCCAGTAATATTTCTTTATGACTACTTACAGGAAGTAACTGTACGGTTTCTTTCTGGGACTTTAAGAACAGGAAATTTGCTTCAAGGTTTTCACTTACAATACCATCTGGAAACTAAAGAAGTTAATTACAAAACTTTTGATTAGCTGTATAGTAAATTAACCATTTATTGCATCTGTTTTCAAGACAGATTGAATTCGATACATCAACTGATATTTATGCATTTGAGAGGTGTATCCTCAATTGGCTGACTATAAGTTTTGAGGATATTGATTACACACATACCGTTTTCATCACATAAACTGTTATGATTGCTTACTTTAAATAAATGGAAATTTACTAAGATAATTCTCAAGCAGCTTTATAAAGATCTGCTAAGAAACTGATAAATTATCCCAGAAGGCTACAAGTAATCCACCAAATAAATAAAAATGAACAGCTGTTTATGCTAAGCCTAACATGAATTAGCTCACCTCATTAGTGGTTACATACACGTTGTACTCAACAGTGGCATCTCCAGTTTTGCTATCAAACCAAATTGTATGTGCCAGTGCATATCCAGAAGCGAACCTAAACAGTCCACTGCCTCCAACAATCGGCATCTCTCTCACATCGTTCAAAACAGGATTTCTCCCAAGAATGCTGATGCTACTTCCATTATATTCACCTTCCATGAAAGCAAAGTTCACTACCATGAGCAGTGAAACATCTTCCTGTGCAGCTATGGCATAAAGTCCTTGAGCTCTTCCTACAAGCTTCGAGGTACGTTCAGGTCCTTCCGTTAAGGCATCATCCATCATCAATGTACTGCCAAAGCCATAACCAGTACTGTTAAGTGGTCCTGCAATTTTCACAGCGGTTGGGTTCTTGCCACCAACAATGTCATGAAAGTAGAAATGGAGGTGGCTCGTTTTCTCTGTGCGTTTTATCGCTATGCCTTCTGTGAGTTCCTCATAGAAAAATCCATTGCTAGTAACGAAAAAGATCGATAAGAAGACAAAGAAATAGGCAGTGAAGACAGAGTAACTGATGGAAGAAACCATATTGGAAATTTTCTGAGGAACTGTTTCAAGTGTGTTATAATGGCTTACAGTAAGCAGAGTTAAAAGTGTGAATGAATTATCAAGTGTTGTTACTCAATTTAAAGACTGGACAAAGGGGAAAGTTTGATGCTTTGCAAAGTTTTAGTGTTTGATTATTCTTCCGCATGCAAAGGTGTGCTTATGCTTGACGATAAAGCTTTGGCTCCTTTTTGACAAAAGAATGATTATGCCTCCACTGTTGACGTACCCATGTTCTGTAATTGGACAATATCTAGCTTATTGCTTACTCTCTGTTTATTTTTTCTTTCTTGAAACAAAAGAATGAATTAAATCTAAAATTAATAATGTTGAAGATAAATTATCCCTTGTTAATTAATAAGTGCATTCATGAAGATCTGTAATGTTGTTGGCTGGCTACTTTACACTGTGTAATCAAATTTCTATGTATTATCTTCCCTTCTTAATTGATAAGAGCTGCATACAGAAGTTGATTCCAAGTGTCTGGAAGGCCAGCCACACACCAGTGGCTGCAGTCCATGCGGTTTAAGCCATTGTAAGAGCTAGGATGTGCATCTTTTCTTAGTTGTGAAAGTGTGGTTATGTTAAGCAGATGAACTGGTTTCTTGATTCTACTTAGCACATCTTGTAGCACGTATGATGCTGCTGGCAAACCACTTGGATAAGTTGTTCCCATTATTGGTTGCTTCTCCATTGAGCAGTTTTTTACTCCTGGTTCGTTCCAGTTCTTGCCACTGATCATCAAGCATACATCATGAAGTCAATAAAACATCTACGTTTGTTTTAGTATTTAAGATAGTATTTTTGATATTTTTAGAGTTGGGTGGAAATAACGAGGTAGGATTTAAAAATTAACAAAAATATCTTCTTAGGTTTGGTAATTTACTAAACACCCATGTAATAAAAACATTAAAAATTACAAAAACAACCTCACCCATTCATTAAATACCGACAGCAGACCACCGCCATCGGAGGGTGGTCAGAGTCACCGTATCAGCGTACAACCGGTTGCACGACAGGTTGGATCTAGCCTGTCATGCGCTGAGATGGCCTTTTTCAGCCAGATCCATTGTGGATTTGGCCAGAAAAGGCTAGATCTACGACTAGATCTACCCGTGTTTGGTCATCAGCGACGATCAAAGATATGGCTATCGTTGAAGACTAGCTATGGCAAAGATGGCCAGATCTTTGACCATAGATCTGACCTTTTTTGACCAGATCTACCGTGGATCTAGCCTGTAAATGATAGATCGACGCACTATTGGCCAAAGCCAGCTAGTAGTGCGTCATTATACCAGATTTCGACCACCTACCGGTGGTGGTGGCCGAAATCTGACAAATGTGGGTGGGTGGATGGGGTATTTTTGTTAATTTTTAAACTTTTTTTGAGAAAGTATTTAGTTAAATTAATAAACTTAGGGGGTTTAAAATAGTTAAATAAAATATAATAGTATTTTCACTTTTTCAAAATAGGAAACAAAAAGTATATTTTGGAAATAGTATTAATAGGATAGGAAAAAATATTAAACCAAACTCACAAAAATTAGAAAGAGAAACACAGTAAGGTGTCTAACCTGTAATGATTAGGCGAAATTCCTTGAAAAATGACTCTAGTTTTAGTGGTATCTACATCTGAATCAACCCATTTGGCCCAAGTAGTCAATGCTTCCCGAAAAGCAACCATATGATCCATGTCCTTGAGAATCTTGTTACCAGTTTGAATATAATCCCATCTGGGTTCAATAGGCACACATACCACAAACTCGTTGAAATTTTGGGTCACATATTTTTACTAATTAGCTTGAGTTAATAGAGCTCTTACGGTTGTTTAGCTACATTGCGAATCCACCAATGCCAGGAGTTAAAAACCAAAATATCAACATTCTTCCAGACATTGCCATTCTTTATAGAATCAAGTTTCAGAACTCGACCAATTTTCTCCACTTCTGTATCCACCAAGTATTCTGAATGAAACAGCATCACTGAAACATCATAGTCCTGCAAAATTAAATCACTTTTTAGTAACTTCAAATATATTTCCAGTTTACAGAAATATAGAATATAAATGGAACCTGGAAAATCACAGTGGAGATCGAGTCATTATTGTGTCTGATAATATTGGTATGTGGAACAGCGGTTTGAAGTAAGCATAACAGTGACTGCATTTGGTTGAGACTCAACGAGTCCCCTATGAACATAATTTTCTTGCCTTTAAATCTGTTTAGAAAATCTTCACCATCAAACCTGCAATGAGATTTTATGGTATAATTAATACATGTAAGACAAAGATATGTTGATTTATTTTCTCTATATATATATATATATACCTTGGCAAGGTGCAGTCATTGGGTTGCCATCTGTATTTAAGGTAGAGATGATCAGGTCGACCATACTTCTGGCAATCGAATTCCCTTCGGAGGTTTGGACACGCAGATGAATCATAGAGAGGATACGACTTGTCGTACACCCATCTCCCTTCATATACATTACACTTCTCTTTTCTTACACTTTTCTGTAACATATTCTCTGAACTTGACAAACTAAAACATGACAAAATAACAAAGATGGCAAGAGAACAATATCTCAAAATCCCAGAAGCCATTTTCTTTGAACCTTTTATTTTTATTTTTAAACTTTTTTCTAACAGGTTTATATACTTTCCATTCCATCCATTGTGTCTAATCAAGCTTTTCTTGCAACTGCAGTTGTGTATGAAACAATTAATATGATCCTTGTACTTAACAAAAAGTTAGCAACAAACGACGTGAGTTTTTGGCATGTAGGAAAGATCAAAGAGGTGTTGATCCTATAATGAATCTTGTAATTAATTATTATAAGTTTGTAATCAAGGAGAGATTTTGTGGCGGTGAATTTGAAGTGAAGTTAGGCAATGGTTTGAATCAAATCAAATAAAGTATAATATCTCAGATTTTCCAAACAAATTTATATAACGTAAATTTTTATTTTATTTTTTGGAAATAAAACAAGTTTCGAATAATTAAAGTAAGCCCTGGAAAGGGTTATGTTGTGAAAGATTGGTTATGTTTAGCAGATGAACTGGTTTCTTGATTCTACTTATCACATCTTGTACTACGAATGATGCTTCTGGCAAGCCGCCCTGATATGTTGTTCAAATTCTTGGTTGCTTCCCCATTGCGCAGTTTCTTACTCCTGTTTCAGTCCACTCCTTACCACTGATCAACAAAATCGTTAATGGAAGACTTAATTCTTGAGGGCAAGGTGACTTGACTTAAAACAAGAGGGAGAAACTCCTTGAAAAATGACTCTAGTTTTTGTGGAATCTACTTCTGAATCAACCCATTTGGCCCATGTTGTTAAATCTTTTCTAAAAGCAACTATACAATCCATGTCCTTGTGAATCTTGTTACCAGATGGAATATAGTTTAAGTTGTAGCTATTACTAATGTAATGTATTTCAGTTTACAGTAATCTGGATTATGAATAGAACCTGGAATATCACTGTGGAGATGGAGTCATTGTTCTGTCTGATAATACTGGGTGTGTGGCACAGCGGCTTGAAGTAAGCATAATAGTGACCGCATTTGGTTGCCATCTGTATTTAAGGTAGAGGTGATCAGGTCAACCATACTTCTGGCAATCTAATTCCCTGCGAAAAGTTTGGGCAGGATGATGAATTATAGAGAGGATACGACTTGTCTTACACCCAACTCCCTTCATATATTGTTTATGCGGAAAATTGCATTAACAAGAGGTACGTGATTGACAATACTAGAACAACATAGGATATACGTGTAATCCTAATAAATCAGTAATGGAATAATACGGTGATGAATGTATAGTAAGAGTCATAAAATAACAAAGAATCAAAAAAAACTTTTTAAAGTGGTTCGGCTGCTTGAGTGTACTACTGAACTGAGTTACAAAAAGTTATTCTGAATTATAAAGAGTTATCTCAGCAAGTTTCCCGTCTTGAGTTCCCGTTTTTCTAAGTCTCTATCTCAAATTATCATTGGGTTTATATAGTACTTGTTACAAGATTGAATTGGAAATAAACTCAAACAGGAAATAGCGAGATCTTCGACTTTGATCGTGGAGTCCATATTGCAAGATATTTTCTAACCAAAACAGGAATTATCCACTCCGGATTTCCCACACAACATATATGTTACACTTTTTGTTCTTCTGCTGTTTTCTCCCTTCACGGTCTGTAACATGTTCTCTGAATTCGCCAGACAAAAACATAACAAAATGACAAAGATGGCAAGACAGAAAGACCAAGATCTCGGAATCCCAGAAGCCATGTTCAGTATTTAATTCTTGATGGTTACTGAGGTAACTGCTTGTTTTAAGAAGCATGGTCCATGAAAGGATCATTTTGGAAGTCAATATACTGTGGTGAATTTCTCAAATTTTCAAATGCTAACACATGGCAAACAACTCACTTAAGGAAGATCTCTCAATTTCTTAATATTCTCATTCTTGCATTTGTGGATGAAACAATTAATTATTTATTTATTTATTTAAATATTGAATTAGTACAAAGCTGTCTTCTTGTGATTAACAAGAAGTTGAAGCAAGATGAAGGGACGTGCCGTCTGTCATATCATGAATCTTCTAATTAATAATTATAAGTTTGTAATCAAGGAAAGATTTGGTTCTTAAAAGAGAATCTTCAATGTTATTAACATTAAATACCTGTAATTTAAATTTTTGTTTTATGTTTGCTTGCAGCAAATCAAAACTCCATAGCTGTTTCTTTAATTTCTATTCATATTATATAATATATTGTACTACATAAAAACAGTATTAACCTTACACTATGCTCTTGACACGAAAGAATGGATTGGCTCTGACTGGCTAATTTATACTGTGTAATCAATTTTTTATGTATTATTATCCTCCCATTCTAATTGATGAGAGCTGTATACAGAAGTTGATTCCATGTGTCAGGAAGGCCAGCAATACACCAGTGAGTGCAGTCCATGCCCTTGAAGGCATTGTAAGAGCTAGGATGTGCATCTTTTCTTAGCTCTGAAAGAGTGGTTATATTAAGCAGATGAACTGGTTTCTTGATTCTACTTAGCACATCTTGTAGCACGTATGATGCTGCTGGCAAACCACTCGGATAAGTTGTTCCCATTATTGGTTGCTTCTCCATTGAGCAGTTTTTTACTCCTGGTTCGTTCCAGTTCTTGCCACTGATCATCAAGCAGACATCATGAAGTCAATAAAACATTTACGTTTGTTTTAGTATTTAGATAGTATTTTGGATATTTTTAGAGTTGGGTGGGAATAACGAGGTAGGATTTAAAAATTAATAAAAATACCCTCCTAAGTTTGGTAATTTACTAAACACCCCTATAATAAAAACATTAAAAATTACAAAAACAACTCCACCCACCCATTAAATACGGGCAGCCGACCATCGCCGCCAGAGGGTGGCCGAAGTCATCGTATCAGCGCATGACCGGTTGGATCTAGCCTGTCATGCGCTGAGATGACATTTTTTAGCCAGATCTATTGTGGATTTGGTCAGAAAATGCTAGATCTACGCCTATATCTGGCCATGTTTGGTCATCAGCGACGACCAAAGATATGGTTGTCGTTGAAGACCAGCTACGGCAAAGATGGCCAGATCTTTGGCTATAGATCTGACATTTTTCGGTCAGACCCACCATGGATCTAACCGGTAAATGATAGATCGGTACACTATTGGCCAAAGCCAGCTAGTAGTGCGCCATTATACCATATTTCGACCATCTACCGATGATGGTGGTCGAAATCTGGCAAATGTGGATGGGTGGGTGAGGTGTTTTTATTAATTTTTAAATTTTGTTTGGGAGAGTGTTTAGTTAAATTAATAAACTTAGGGGGTTTAAAATAGTTAAATAAAATATAATAGTATTTTCACTTTTTCATAATAGAAAACAAACATATATTTTGAAAATAGTATTAATAGCATAGGAAAAAATATTAAACCAAACGCACAAAAATTAGAAAAAGAAACACAGTAAGGTGTCTAACCTGTAATGATTAGGCGAAATTCCTTGAAAAATGACTCTAGTTTTAGTGGTATCTACATCTGAATCAACCCATTTGGCCCAAGTTGTCAGTGCTTCCCGAAAAGCAACCATGTGATCCATGTCCTTGAGAATCTTGTTACCAGTTTGAATATAATCCCATCTGGGTTCAATAGGCACACATACCACAAACTCGTTGAAATTTTGGGTCACATATTTTTACTAATTCGATGAGTTAATAGAGCTCTTACGGTGTTTAGCTACATTGCGAATCACCAATGCCAGGGTTAAAAACCAAAATATCAACATTCTTCCAGACATTGCCATTCTTATAGAATCAAGTTTCAGAATCGACCAATTTTCTCCACTTCTGTATCCACCAAGTATTCTGATGAAACAGCATCACTGAACATCATAGCTCTGCAAAATTAAACACTTTTGTACTAAAATATATTCCAGTTTACAGAAATTAGAATATAAATGAACCTGGAAATCACAGTGGAGATCGAGTCATTATTGTGTCTGATAATATTGGTATGTGGAACAGCGGTTTGAAGTAAGCATAACAGTGACTGCATTTGGGAGACTCAACGAGTCCCCTATGAACATAATTTTCTGTGCCTTTAAATCTGTTTAGAAAATCTTCACCATCAAACCTGCAATGAGATTTTATGGTATAATTATACATGTAAGACAAAATATGTTTATTTTCTTTTATATATATACCTTGGCAAGTCGCAGTCATTGGGTTGCCATCTGTTAAGGTAGAGATGTCAGGTCGACCATACTTCTGGCAATCGAATTCCCTTCGAGGTTTGGACACGCAGATGAATCTAGAGAGGATACGACTTGTCGTACACCCATCTCCCTTCATATACATTACACTTTCTTTTCTTACACTTTTCTGTCAATTTCTCTGAACTTGACAAACAAAACATGACAAAATAACAAAGATGGCAAGAGAACAATCATCAAAATCCAGAAGCCATTTTCTTTGAATTTATTTTTATTTTATTACTTTTTTTTCTAACAGGTTATATACTTCCATCTCCATGTGTGTAATCAAGCTTTTCTTGCAACTGCAGTTGTGTATGAACAATTAATATGATCCTTGTACTAACAAAAAGTTAGCAACAAACGACGTGGTTTTTGGCATGTAGGAAAGATCAAAGAGGTGTGATCCTATAATGAATCTTGTAATTATTATAAGTTTGTAATCAAGGAGAGATTTTGTGGCGGTGAATTTGAAGTGAAGTTAGCATGGTTTGAATAAATCAAATAAAGTATAATATCTCAGATTTCCAAACAAATTTATATAACGTAAATTTTATTTTTTTTTGGAAATAAACAAGTTTCGAATAACTAAGTAAGCCCTGGAAAGGGTTATGTGTGAAGATGTATGTAGAGATGAACGGTTTCTTGATTCTACTTACACACTTGTACTAAGATGATGCTTCTGGCAAGCCCGATATGTGTTCAATTCTTGGTTGCTTCCCCATTGCGCAGTTTTTACTCCTGTTTCAGTCCATCCTTACCACTGATCAACAAAATCGTTAATGGAAGAATTAATTCTTGAGGGCAAGGTGACTGACTTAAAACAAGAGGAGAACTCCTTGAAAAATGACTCTAGTTTTTGTGGAATCTACTTCTGAATCACCATTTGGCCCATGTTGTTAAACTTTTCAAAAAGCAACATACAATCCATGTCCTGGAATCTTGTTACCAGATGGAATATAGTTTAAGTTGTAGCTATTACTAATGAATGTATTTCAGTTTACATAATCTGGATTGAATAGAACCTGGAATATCACTGTGGAGAGAGTCATTGTTCTGTCTATAATACTGGGGGTGTGGCACAGCGGCTTGAAGTAAGATATAATAGTGACCCGCATTGGTTTGCCATCTGATTTAAGGTAGAGGTGATCAGGTCCAACCATACTTCTGGCAATCTAATTCCCTGCGAAAGTTTGGGCAGGTGATGAATTAAGAGAGGATACGACTTGTCTTACACCCAACTCCCTTCAATATTGTTTATGCGGAAAATTGCATTAACGAGAGATACGTGATTGAATACTAGAACAACATAGATATACGTGTAATCCTAATGAATCAGTAAGAATAATACTGATGAACTGTATAGTAAGCATAAAATAACAAAGAACAAAAAAACTTTTTAAAGTGTGGTGTAGTATACGATGAGTTACAAAGTTATTCTGAATTAAAAGAGTTATTAGCAAGTTTCCGTCTTAGATTCCCTTTTTCTAGTCTCTTCTAGATTATATTGGGTTTATATGTACTTGTACAAGATTGAATTGGAAAAAACTCAAACAGGAAATAGCGAGATCTTCGACTTGATCGGGGTCATATTGCAAGATATTTTAGCCAAAACAGGAATTATCCCTCGGATTTCCCACAACATATTTACACTTTTTCTCTGCTGTTTCTCCCTTCACGTCTGTAAACATGTTCTCTGAATTCGCCAGACAAAAACATAACAAAATGACAAAGATGGCAAGACAGAAAGACAAGATCTCGGAATCAGAAGCCCTGTTCATATTTAATTCTTGATGGTTACTGAGGTAATGCTTGTTTTAGAAGATGGTCCATGAAAGGTCATTTTGGAAGTCAATATACGTGTGAATTTCTCAAATTTTCAAAGCTAACACATGGCAAACAACTCACTTAAGGAAGATCTCTCAATTTCTTAATATCTCATCTTGCATTTGGGATGAAACAATTAATTATTTATTTATTTAAATATTGAATTAGTACAAAGCTGTCTTCTTTGATTAACAAGAAGTTGAAGCCAGATGAGGGAAGTGCCGTCTGTATATCATGAATCTTCTAATTAATAATTATAAGTTTGTAATCAAGGAAAGATTTGGTTCTAAAAGAGAATCTTCAATGTTATTAACATTAAATAGCTGTAATTAATTTTGCTTTATGTTTGCTTGCAGCAAATCAAAACTCCATAGCGTTTCTTAATTTCTATTCATATTATATAATATATTGTACTCATAAACAGTATTAACCTTACACTATGCTCTGTACGAAAGAATGGATTGGCTCTGACTGGCTATTTAATATGTGTAATCATTTTTTAGTATTATTATCCTCCCATTCTAATTGATGAGAGCTGTTAACAGAAGTTGATTCCATGTGCGGAAGGCCAGCATACACCAGTGGTGCAGTCCATGCCCTTGAAGGCATTGTAGAGCTAGGATGTGCATCTTTTCTAGCTCTGAAAGAGTGGTTATATTAAGCAGATGACTGGTTTCGATACTCTTAACACTCTGTACATATGATGCGCTGGCAAACCACTGGATAAGTTGTTCCCATTATTGGTTGCGTCTCCATTGAGCAGTTTTCACTCGTTTCATTCCAGTCCTCGCCGCTGATCAAGCAGGAGATGTAGTCAATAAAATATTCAATAACTTGAAAATTCTATGGTGCGGATTTAAATAAAACAAAGCAAGGTGATAACTTGTAATGAGAAGGAGAAATTCTTGAAAATGACTCTGGTTTGTGGGGATCTACTTCTGAATCAACCCATTTGGCCCATGTTGTTAAAGCTTTCCAAAGCAACCTACGATCCATGTCCTTGAGAATTTGTACACAGATGAATATAATCCCATCTGGGTGGTTCAAGAGGCACAACACCATTAGCTCATGTTAAAGTCAGGTCTTATATTTATCTAATTAGCTTGAGTTAATAAAGCTCTTACGGTTGTTTAGCTCCACTGCGGTACCACCAAAGCATGTGTTGAAAACCAAAGCATCAACATTCTTCCATACACTGCCATTCTTAATGGAGTCAAGTTCAGAACTCGACCGATTTTCTCCACTTCGTGTCCACCAAGTAGCTGAATGAAACAGCATCACTGAAACATCATAGTCCTGCAAAATTATACAAGTAATTCGACTTGTTACTTGTAGTTATTTTAATAAATTCCCAGTTTACAGTAGTCTAGATATAAATAGAACCGGAAAAACACGTGAGATTGAGTCATTGGTCTGACTGGTGATATTGGCATGTGGAACAGAGGTTTGGAGTAAGCATAAAGTGACTGCATTTGGTTGAGGCTTACTGAGTCCCTACGAAATAATTTCTTCCCTTTAAATCTGTTCAGAAAATCTTCAGCATCAAACCTGCAATGTGATTTTACAGTATGTTAAATACATGCAAGCTAATAGTTTAGGAGTCGGCATGGAGTATCTAAAAGCTTAGGCCATATTTTGAAGCAAAATACAGCAAGGGGAAGTAGAAACGACAAGTCACTTGCATTTTAAAGCAAAACTTGACAGGTCAATTTTTTTGTGTTGGAGATGTAGGAAAACGCCAAGTCATTTAAAAAATGTATACGACTTATCATTTGGTTGTTACAGAGTTGAACGACGACAAATCGCTTTTGTCTTCTATAAACTAGAAAGTGACTAGTCGGTTAGATTAAACATAAAGGAGAGAAAGAGAACCGTAAAATTACCGGATAATTAAATGACAAGTCGGTTTTTCCTTTTACTAGAAAGTGACAAGTCGGTTACATTTCATATAAATTGTGACTACTCGTATTATACAACTACCTTCTGTCAGCTTTCTGTGCTTTTGTAAAGACCAAAAAAAGTTCTGTACTGTGCAAAATACAAGCATAATTTACACAAAACACAGCAATTGCAAACTGGCACTTAGCCAGGCTGCTGCTATGGTGAAATAATTCCAGGGACTGATGCTAAAGAAAGATATACATCTTGAAGATGATGCATATTTCAAATCCCAAATGCAATCACTTTTGTTCCTTTTATATTCATCATCATGTGCCAGCCTTGCTTTTATATTTCTATATATTGCTGAGCCTCTGTTTGGTGGGCTCTAAAGAATTTGTTTAATTCAAGATGTTCAGACGAGAGAATGATAATATGTAAGCGGAAAAGGAGGAATACATGAAGGTTTTTATACCTTGGCAAGTCACAGTCATTGGGCTGCCATCTGTATTTAAGGTAGAGATGATCGGGGCGACCGTACTTCTGGCAATCGAATTCCCGGCGGATGTGTGGGCAGGCTGATGAATTATAAAGCGGATACGACTCGTCGTACACCCATCTCCCTTCATATACATTACAACTCTCCTGCTGTCTTCTTCTCCATTTCCCAGTCTGCAACATGTTGTTCTCCGAATTGGCCAGACAAAAACATGAGAAAACAACGAAGATGGCAACACAGAAAGAAGAAGATTTCCGAATCCCGGAAGCCATTTTCATTGTTTAATTCTGGAGACAGAGAGAGATTAAAAGAGAGAGGGGCAACAGACAGGGTAGGAGGGAGAGAGTTTGATTTGAAGCTTTTCTAGTAAAACTGTGACTATACAGTTATATATATATATAAAGGCATATAGCCATCAATTATACGTAATTAATTGTATTGTTTTATTGGGAACAACTTTTACATACCCAAAGTTTGCTGGATAGATAAAATGGTACTCAAAAGGTTTGAAAATGACAAACACCTACTTTCTGTCATGTTTTGTTAGGAATTTCTATCTGTTAAAAGACAAAAATGATAAAAAGACTGAAATACCCACCAATCTCCATTCCCAATGCGCGCCAATAAGGGTCAGTGCCACTGTTTATCACAAAACTTCACAGAAAAATACTAAATCCGATCAAAAAATCGATCAATGACGTAAGAGGGTTGTGTAAACGGGCTTGGGGTGAGAATAAATATAGAGAAAAAGATTTAAAATTTAAAAATTTTGTGACTGTATGAAATTACTATACTGTCTTTTAGCAGACAGAAATCTCTAAGAGAATATGACATAAAGTATTTATTTGTTATTTTCAAAACCTTTTGAGTATCAACCTATCTTTATGCCTAACTTTGGGTATGCCTAACTTTGGGTATGTGGAAGCCGTTAGCCTTTTTTTTTTTTTTTTCTTTTTTTGGTGTGTAAACCAGATTCTGATTTAATAATATTTTCCAAATTCTGTAATAAATTAAAGAGATTTGAACTTACAAATTCGGCATTAAATTCAAGACATACCTTTTCTTTTACTTTTTGGACAGCTGCATTTCCTCAAGCATTCCATGAGAAATATATTGTTATTAATTAATATTAAAGACTCTATTGAGAGGATATTGGTACAGAAATTTAATGTGTACACGTCACATTTATATTCCATCTAATGAATATTTGTAGATAAATAAAACATTGACTTATGGGCATGATACATTTTAGTTTTTTTCTTGGTTAAAATAAGTTATTTTTTCAAAAATAAAAAAAAAATAAAAAAATTAGTGTATAGTGGGTTGTTGGTTCAATAATAATTCCATCATGTGGACAATGAAAAAAACAAAATGAAGTGACTAAAATGGACTAGATAAATATTCAAGTGATGAATGGAATCATTAACCAACACCCTTTGATTACGTAAGTATATAATGTGGGTGACATGATAAATATGTCACACCTCAACTTATTTTTAGATAAATTGGATAATATCTTACCTTTTTTTTTTAAGAAACAGGGTATCCAATGATCAATGGCGGATCCAAGATTTTGATCAAAGGAGGCCTCCACAGCTCCATCATTGTTTACTAAAGTAAACAATTAGTAAAAACTTTAAAAAATATCAAACCTTAAAGCAAATAAAATAATACAATATCAAAAACTTGAAAGCAAAAAAAGCAATAATGCAATATTTTCCTACTTAAATAAAAGTGTTAAGTTAAACCTTGAGCAAAACTTACTTGTAATTTTAGTTTTTTTTTTTTTTTTCCAAAGATTATAATATTAATTTAATGACTTTAACCAAACCTAACTTAAGTTATGGTTAACCAAAACTTAAATCAAGTTAACATTGTATTGACTTTAATATGAATTAATAAAAAAAAAAAATTGATATAAACATAGATAGTAACTCAAATTTCTTTAATTATTTTGAGTAGCAAAACGGTGACGTTTGAAATGTAGGAAAGCGGTTGGTGAAGGGTGAAGAATAACGTCCTTTAAAATATAGTTAAGGTTTTAATTTGGGAAAACAAGTTCATTTTTAGACACAAAACACAAAATAAACTCATAAGATTTATATATTTTTCCCTCAAATTAAAATAAAAAACCTCCACCAAAAAAAAAAAAAAAAATGATTCAACCATAAAATAAACTAAATTGAAATGAATAATACACATACCTAAAACTACTAAAACAGAAAACAAAGTTAATTGTGACATCTTGAATAATGAAAGCTTCAACAATTTCAATCTTCAAAAGTTTTAAAATCGAATAGCACGAGGAAGAGAAAAAGAGAATGAGAGAGTAAAGAATTTTGAGGATAAAATCGTAGAAAATAGGTGAAGCCATGGAGAAGAAAAGTGGAGCGAGTATTAAACTTTAATATAATGTGAACTTGAAATATCTATATTAATAGCAAGTTTTTTGTGGGCCTAGATATATGTATAATAATTCTCATTTTTAAAAAATCAGAGGGTAAGCATGAATATATATTAATAGCAATTTTTGTGGTTACCCACCCAAAAGGGGTTGGATCTGCCCCTACCGATGATGATCTGCTTAAATTTTGAAATCCAACCAAAGAGGTTCATACGTGAGATTCTGAACCTTAACCACACATCCTAACACTCGTCTTACCATTTAAACTGTCTATAGATGAATCTCTTAAAAATATCCACCTCTTATATACTAAATAAATCACATAAATAAAATTAGAAATGTGAAATATAATAAGTATCCAATTATATGAACATTCTTATGATTATTTTTATTGTATAGTTTTTTCTTTTTTCTTTTTTCTTCATCATCAATAACCAATTAAAATTATGATGACTAAGATGACCTTTTCTTGCAGGAAAACTATAGTCCATGAATCGACATATTGAAAAGGTTGGTGACAATAAGATAAGGTAAGATTGGTTTAACAAAATTAAAATAATATGGAGATGGGAAAGTACTTGAAGATCTGGCGGTGCATATTGCTCTAATTTTCACATGCCAAACAACTCACTTAATCAACATTTTCTCAAATTCTTAATGCCCTCAATCTTCTATTTTTCTATGGCTGTCTTCTTATAATTAACATAAAGTTTAATCAATTTTTTATGCATGGAAGTGGGGTTGGCCCTATAATGAATTTACTAATTAATTAACTTACTAATTATATGTTTGTTCTCAATTAATGCTGGGATGGATTAATTTAACAACTCAATAATGTTGAAATATTATCATCCGTAAGTAATCCAGATGGTTAAGGTGAATTGGGAATAATGTGGATATGTGTACGGTCTTAAGTTTGATTCTCCATCTGAACATCTTCGAAGATTAGTCTGGACACCTTAGTTTTAAAAAAAAAAAAATGTTGAAAATAATTCTTCAAATATTAAATGGTATTATCCAAAATTTCTAAGTATTTTTTTTTTTATTGATATTAGGAAAGTATGGGATTGAAAAAAGAAATTGATTTCAATATATATAAATATATAAAATATCATTTTAATTCAATAATTTAGTTATAGAATCCTAGCGTTTGCCCTTTACTTGAGGGCTATGAAGCAAATGGGTTAGGGCTTTAATTCTGAGCTGAACCAGCTATGGGTTGAAGTCTATTTTGGAACCCTGGAATTTCAGAGCCCAGGCCCATTAAAGCTTCCTTCGAATTGTTTCGGTGTTTCTTTCAGTAATGAAGGAGGCACCGCTCCCTCGCACGTCCTTGCAATCTTGAAGGTGATCACACTGCTTCATTTTTCATATTAATTTTCTTGAAGAAAATTTACAATCAGCTTTGTGGATCACAAAACTCTTTGAAAGTATTATTATTATTATTATTATTATTTTTTTTTTATCATTTCTTCCTACAAATTCTGCTTTTCTGGTAACCCAAATCTCTCTCTCTCTCTCTCTTTTCATGTATACCGAATTGAAGCAAACCCTTCATTTTTTTCTTAGTTTCAACGAACCCAGTTGGTTATTTTGGTTATACTCTTCTGTATGTGTGTATTATTGGGAACTATTAAGATTTTGTTTTTTGTTTTTTTTGCTTTTTGGTTGCATAGATGGAGGGCAGTTTTGCTGAGGAGCTCTACTCTGAAAGTTTGAAGTTATCAAAGTTAGAATTGGATCCTACTTCAATTTCAAATGGCAAGTATCATATGATGTAAATTGTGTATTATTATTATTTGTTTTTTAATTTGTTTGTTCTTACGATGTTAAGGTGTTTGGTGGCTTGATGTCATGAATTTTTTTCATTTCTGTTGAAGGAAAGTAGTACAAACGACGTCTTGCACAAATAATCAGTAAGATATTGAATCTTATATAAATTATTAGTAATCGATTACAACCTTAGAGAGAGTTCTCAATGCAGATATGTCGTTTTAGAGTCTTTTAGATAAGGAATTAACAAACTTTGAGCTTTGAATTGTGGTGTCTTAATATATGGTTTTTGGAGTCCGTTAAGCTTCTGTTTTATTGCCTGCTGCAGTCAATTTTGGCATAAAAAGCAGATGTTATATTGTTGGGCAACCAAGTCATCCTTTATGAAGCAAGGCACTTGATATGTTGTCTGGTTTCAGGTTGTGATGAAGGTGACTTGCAGGATGGGGATGGATCTTTGTGGGGTGGTTCTGATGAGGAATTTGATAAATCATCTGATTTGGACAGAGAATGGCAGAAGAGGCGTGATCAATTCCACACTGTATGAGTACATGAAGTTGATTGTCTTTTCATTTTAAAAATCTTTTTAATTTCTCATTCCATCCGATATATGACAATGCCACTATCATACTTGATAAATTTCAGATTGGATACCGTGATGGCCTTATAGCAGGGAAAGAAGCTTCTTCACAAGAGGGATTTAATATTGGCTTTAAGCAATCTTTTTTCTCTGGATACAATTGGGGTCTTGTTAGAGGTGTAACCAGGTAAAAAACAAAAACAAAAAAAGATGAATAAGAAATATCTATTTATTAACCATCTGAATTTCTTGACTTAAAGGCAGACATTTCTTTCCTTTTTTATTTCTGTTAAATGAAAAAAGAATAAGATTGATTTAATTGTTTGTTCTATATTTTTTTGTTTTCTCTACCCTTATGTAGTGCATTTGCTGCCCTTCCCAATGAGTTGAAAGAGGTGTTGGTTGAAACACAAGAAAACAGAAACAAGTTTCAGGGTTTGTACGAATCAGTGCATTCTCTTTCTACAACTGATGCGCTTAAATTGTATCATGATGATTTAGTGGCAAGCAAAGCAGTGGTACATAGTGATAATGCCGAAGTTAGCTCCAATGTAGCAGGCTTACAAGAGCAAAGTTCAGGGTGCAGCCCTCTGGAAAATCGCTTTGTAGAGCTTCAATCACTTCTTCTTGAAACTCCTGTGGTGCAAGTACATTTAGCCGCTGTACGCAAATAGTTGGTGTCCATACTTTTCTGTATAACTCATTTGTGAAATAATACTTTTAATGGAAAATAATATGTAGTGGAAGTAATCTGCCTATAATTATGGCAGCGAATTTTGTAGTACTAGAATCGTATCATTTCAAAGAAAGATATATTTAATATGGTCTGATGATCTTATCAGTAATTCTTTCATAGTTATTTTCTACTGTATTAGTCGAAATATAATAGCACATTCTTTTTTTGCATGAACTATTCAGACTCAGAGATAGAAATCATGGGATATACTGATTTTATGTGATGAATATAAAACCTTTAACTTACAGATGCATTTTATTGCAGTTTTATCAATTTCCAAGCATTTGCATATATCCTTGCTTACAGTAGAATCATTTTACTATATTTTCGCCTTTTGCTACTGCAGTGTTGGCACTCTTATTGTTTATGCTTGGAATGATTATATTCTCATTGATTATGCTTGGAGCTGGCTGTTAGTATTATGTGGTACTAATTAAGCAGAAGACATGGTTAGTCTCTTATGTTGCAGAATCACTGAAATTTCTTTTATTCACTTTACAATATGCATAGTTTTTTCATCAGAGGTGCTAATAATGATAAGTTAAGACATAAAATGAGTTATGATCATTGGTACATAATTTAGACAGACATTAATAAATTATCAAAGTTTGGAGGTCAAGTGCCCCCAGCTGTTACAAAGGATAACCTGGGCATCCAGTTGAAAAAACTGAACACCATAACTGTTTAACTTATAATGTTATTACACATATTATTAAACTAGACACTCTTCACTTTCACTTCATCACCCACCTAGCTTAATTCATTCTCCATTCAAACATCCCTCCATTAAGCTACTACTTTGTCCGCACTCAACTGTGGCTCTGAAGCAGCTGACTTGTAAAACAAGGGGTGTCGCTAGCTGTCATAATACTCTCTACTTCACAGATTCAGCAGTATAATCTGCCTCCATTGCTTGCTCTTGAGCATCACCTGCACACCAAATAAAAAGAGAGTAACTAATATTAAACATTGAGTTATAAAGGTTTTAGCAATGTTTAAAAAGAGGACTTAGAAGTGAGTTACCTTATTTACGTTAAGAACCAACATCATCTGCAAGCTTGAATTGGTCTTGCAGGAGCAAAGGCAGTTGAAGAATGCCTGCGATGTGTTTTCCACTGAGGGGTTGGGCTGACTGTTTCAAAAGCTTCAACTAGTAGTGCCACCTTTTTCTTCCTAGCAGGAGCAAGTTTGGTGACGGCCTGTCTGAGTGCATAATCGACCATCCATTCTTCAGAGTTTTTCCTTTCATCCTCTTCCTGATGCCTGAGATCAACCTTTTCTGCATCAGGGTCAGGAACCAGAGGCAGGTAATTTGGTTCTCGTGGGTTGAATCCCCTCAATTCCTCCTCATCAGTGATAGTTCTCTTGGATCCAATCGTCCATTTCTGATTGCTACAGGCACTTGGTGGTTCTGGGTTGGACTTGGACTTGCTCTCTGAAAGGAACGGTGTGCTTTCCAATTCGGCATTGGTCTTATTTTCTGTCAAGGGGATTGTTTCTTCTATACCTGCTTGGATGCTATCTTGCACTTCCATTTTCTCAGTTTCTACTGAACTGCTTTCGGCCAAACTGATTTTAGGCATCTTTGAATCACTTTGCTCATCAGAAGCCGTGGAACTTGGGATTTTGAACTTCTCAACTTCATCTTCATCTTTCTCCGCAAAGTTCTGGTTGTCAGCAACATTCATGCTATCACTCTCACCCTCACCCTCACCCTCACCCTCTGACAGTTGCTCTTCGCTTTTCTTTGGAAGGATTTCATCAACCATATCTTGAGTTGAAACACTGTCTTCAGTAAGGTCTTCAAGCTGGCAAAAGTCAGTATCCACCTTAGCATCAACTTCATTTGCTTCATAAAGATCATCAGGAGCTTGGACTCCAATTGATACTTTGGTGACAGCAACCGGATATATATCAACTTGGATTCCAATTGATCTCTTAGTGACAGCAACTTGTTCTTTCTCGTCTGTTTGATTTCCAGCTTCACTTTTGGGTCGTTCTTTCTCCAGATCAAGTATTAGTTTTTTTGTTTTTTTTGCTTTTTGGTTGCATAGATGGAGGGCAGTTTTGCTGAGGAGCTCTACTCTGAAAGTTTGAAGTTATCAAAGTTAGAATTGGATCCTACTTCAATTTCAAATGGCAAGTATCATATGATGTAAATTGTGTATTATTATTATTTGTTTTTTAATTTGTTTGTTCTTACGATGTTAAGGTGTTTGGTGGCTTGATGTCATGAATTTTTTTCATTTCTGTTGAAGGAAAGTAGTACAAACGACGTCTTGCACAAATAATCAGTAAGATATTGAATCTTATATAAATTATTAGTAATCGATTACAACCTTAGAGAGAGTTCTCAATGCAGATATGTCGTTTTAGAGTCTTTTAGATAAGGAATTAACAAACTTTGAGCTTTGAATTGTGGTGTCTTAATATATGGTTTTTGGAGTCCGTTAAGCTTCTGTTTTATTGCCTGCTGCAGTCAATTTTGGCATAAAAAGCAGATGTTATATTGTTGGGCAACCAAGTCATCCTTTATGAAGCAAGGCACTTGATATGTTGTCTGGTTTCAGGTTGTGATGAAGGTGACTTGCAGGATGGGGATGGATCTTTGTGGGGTGGTTCTGATGAGGAATTTGATAAATCATCTGATTTGGACAGAGAATGGCAGAAGAGGCGTGATCAATTCCACACTGTATGAGTACATGAAGTTGATTGTCTTTTCATTTTAAAAATCTTTTTAATTTCTCATTCCATCCGATATATGACAATGCCACTATCATACTTGATATATTTCAGATTGGATACCGGGATGGCCTTATAGCAGGGAAAGAAGCTTCTTCACAAGAGGGATTTAATATTGGCTTTAAGCAATCTTTTTTCTCTGGATACAATTGGGGTCTTGTTAGAGGTGTAACCAGGTAAAAAACAAAAACAAAAAAAGATGAATAAGAAATATCTATTTATTAACCATCTGAATTTCTTGACTTAAAGGCAGACATTTCTTTCCTTTTTTATTTCTGTTAAATGAAAAAAGAATAAGATTGATTTAATTGTTTGTTCTATATTTTTTTGTTTTCTCTACCCTTATGTAGTGCATTTGCTGCCCTTCCCAATGAGTTGAAAGAGGTGTTGGTTGAAACACAAGAAAACAGAAACAAGTTTCAGGGTTTGTACGAATCAGTGCATTCTCTTTCTACAACTGATGCGCTTAAATTGTATCATGATGATTTAGTGGCAAGCAAAGCAGTGGTACATAGTGATAATGCCGAGGTTAGCTCCAATGTAGCAGGCTTACAAGAGCAAAGTTCAGGGTGCAGCCCTCTGGAAAATCGCTTTGTAGAGCTTCAATCACTTCTTCTTGAAACTCCTGTTGTGCAAGTACATTTAGCCGCTGTACGCAAATAGTTGGTGTCTATACTTTTGTGTATAACTCATTTGTGAAATAATACTTGTAATGGAAAATAATATGTAGTGGAAGTAATCTGCCTATAATTATGGCAGCGAATTTTGTAGTACTAGAATCTTATCATTTCAAAGAAAGATATATTTAATATGGTCTGATGATCTTATCAGTAATTCTTTCATAGTTATTTTCTACTGTATTAGTCGAAATATAATAGCACATTCTTTTTTTGCATGAACTATTCAGACTCAGAGATAGAAATCATGGGATATACTGATTTTATGTGATGAATATAAAACCTTTAACTTACAGATGCATTTTATTGCAGTTTTATCAATTTCCAAGCATTTGCATATATCCTTGCTTACAGTAGAATCATTTTACTATATTTTCGCCTTTTGCTACTGCAGTGTTGGCACTCTTATTGTTTATGCTTGGAATGATTATATTCTCATTGATTATGCTTGGAGCTGGCTGTTAGTATTATGTGGTACTAATTAAGCAGAAGACATGGTTAGTCTCTTATGTTGCAGAATCACTGAAATTTCTTTTATTCACTTTACAATATGCATAGTCTTTTCATCAGAGGTGCTAATAATGATAAGTTAAGAGATAAAATGAGTTATGATCATTGGTACATAATTTAGACAGACATTAATAAATTATCAAAGTTTGGAGGTCAAGTGCCCCCAGCTGTTACAAAGGATAACCTGGGCATCCAGTTGAAAAAACTGAACACCATAACTGTTTAACTTATAATGTTATTACACATATTATTAAACTAGACGCTCTTCACTTTCACTTCATCACCCACCTAGCTTAATTCATTCTCCATTCAAACATCCCTCCATTAAGCTACTACTTTGTCCGCACTCAACTGTGGCTCTGAAGCAGCTTACTTGTAAAACAAGGGTGTCGCTAGCTGTCATAATACTCTCTACTTCACAGATGCAGCAGTATAATCTGCCTCCATTGCTTGCTCTTGAGCATCACCTGCACACCAAATAAAAAGAGAGTAACTAATATTAAACATTGAGTTATAAAGGTCTTAGCAATGTTTAAAAAGAGGACTTAGAAGTGAGTTACCTTATTTACGTTAAGAACCAACATCATCTGCAAGCTTGAATTGGTCTTGCAGGAGCAAAGGCAGTTGAAGAATGCCTGCGATGTGTTTTCCACTGAGGGGTTGGGCTGACTGTTTCAAAAGCTTCAACTAGTAGTGCCACCTTTTTCTTCCTAGCAGGAGCAAGTTTGGTGACGGCCTGTCTGAGTGCATAATCGACCATCCATTCTTCAGAGTTTTTCCTTTCATCCTCTTCCTGATGCCTGAGATCAACCTTTTCTGCATCAGGGTCAGGAACCAGAGGCAGGTAATTTGGTTCTCGTGGGTTGAATCCCCTCAATTCCTCCTCATCAGTGATAGTTCTCTTGGATCCAATCGTCCATTTCTGATTGCTACAGGCACTTGGTGGTTCTGGGTTGGACTTGGACTTGCTCTCTGAAAGGAACGGTGTGCTTTCCAATTCGGCATTGGTCTTATTTTCTGTCAAGGGGATTGTTTCTTCTATACCTGCTTGGATGCTATCTTGCACTTCCATTTTCTCAGTTTCTACTGAACTGCTTTCGGCCAAACTGATTTTAGGCATCTTTGAATCACTTTGCTCATCAGAAGCCGTGGAACTTGGGATTTTGAACTTCTCAACTTCATCTTCATCTTTCTCCGCAAAGTTCTGGTTGTCAGCAACATTCATGCTATCACTCTCACCCTCACCCTCACCCTCACCCTCTGACAGTTGCTCTTCGCTTTTCTTTGGAAGGATTTCATCAACCATATCTTGAGTTGAAACACTGTCTTCAGTAAGGTCTTCAAGCTGGCAAAAGTCAGTATCCACCTTAGCATCAACTTCATTTGCTTCATAAAGATCATCAGGAGCTTGGACTCCAATTGATACTTTGGTGACAGCAACCGGATATATATCGACTTGGATTCCAATTGATCTCTTAGTGACAGCAACTTGTTCTTTCTCGTCTGTTTGATTTCCAGCTTCACTTTTGGGTCGTTCTTTCTCCAGATCAAGTACATTGACCACAGCATTTTGATCTATTTCCGAATCCTTGGGCTCAGCTTTATCTGTTGCAAACTGATATGTCACCTCTTCATCTAGAAGAGATTTCTTCTCTTGTTGATCATTCAAAGTTTCATCCTCTGCTTCAGGAACTTCCTTCTCCTCAGTAGAAGCTGCTGGTTCCACAATTGGCACGTCTGGCCCAGCTGAAGTGACCATCACTCCTATAAAATCTGTCTCAGCTTCCTCCATGATCACTAGGCTAGATTCAACAATCCCGAAATTTTGATCTGTGTCCTCCATTTCAGCATCACTGTCATTGTGCTGTGAGTCAAAGCAGGCACTTTGTTCTTCGAATACTTCATCAGCTGCAATCTCCTCTCTACAATCAACAACACTGTTGTCTGATTTGATGATAGGTTCATCATGAAAATCATGATTCTTGATTTCTGACAAATTCCCATCATCTAGATCGGATTCCATACAGTTTTTTGTTGAACAGTTGGCTTCCGCACCAGGATCTGTGGCAGAAAATCGGCCCTCCTCCCACTCCATGTCAGAAGCTTCAGAAATACTGTCATCCCCTTGGGTGCTGGCACTGCATTCCTTTTCGAAGTTACTTCCATTGTAATAACTTTCAGGTGCAACTTCACTGTCAGCTGCAATTGGCGAGTAGTCTTTTTCTGGATCTTCCACTTTCTGTTCTTTAGGAAAACACTGTGTAATATCAACTGCTATTGGAATGACATGACTATCTTGTTCAAGGTTTTCCTCAAAATCTATCTCTGAGCGTGGTGATCCATCAGAGAGGCTCTCAGCAACTTGTTTGTCATTGTTGTGCTCTACTTTTGCTCCATCACAACCTCCAAAAGGAGACTCATCATTGCCTTTTTTATTTTTAGCATAGATTTCAATGAAAAAATCCATGCTTCCTTCTTTTATCAGAGGAGAGCTGGGTGAGCAATCCAAATCTCCTTCCTTACGTGCAGAATTGTCATTAAACATCAACTTCCCTGCATCAATTCCTTCTGATCCTTCACCAATTGGCTTCACTCTACGCAGGGATAGAGCTTCCAGCTTCATGCTCTTCTGTGTTTTCAACAATCGCCTCCTTGCCGACAAGAAGCACTTCAATGGTGGCGAAGGTGTGTGGTGATGACCATTAAGAGAGCAATAAGTGTATGGACACACCTTCACAGCTGAAGTTCCTTCAGCCTCAGTTGCCCCAGGACTAAGCATAAGATAATCAGGAAAATCTGAGTCCTTCAGAGTTGAAGAACAGGTAGCTCTCTGTGCATCCACATCTGTACAGAGAACAACTCTAGAACATTTTCTCGCAGAACCTCTCCCATTCTTAAAACTGGGGGCCTTTGTTAAAGTCCTTACCAGCTTCAAACTAGATGACTTTGTCAAAGCTCTAGCTGGTTTAGCACCAGAACCAGAGCTAACTTTTGAACTACTTGAGTTTCTTCTACGCTGATTCTTAATATCTGAACCAGTTTGAGAATACCGGGAACTCACCTGAGAACTCTCCTTCCTTGCCTCTGAACTGCTGGTGGACTTCATGTAATTTGGTGAACCATAAGTTGATTTGACAGGAGACTGCTTCTGAGGAGTAGTTGCAACGCTTGGAACATTTTCAGGAGGAGGCTTTCCAGGCTGTGAGATAGTCTGATTCAAATTTGATGACGATCTCAAGCTCTCAAAATCAGAAAGCTTGATTGATCTCGACATCTTCATTTTCTTCTTCATGTCAGGCCCTCTATTCTTGCCATCCTGGTGCTGATAAGAAGATGATTTCATGTTCACCAACCGCTTCTCTGATTTAACATGATCAGCCTGGAATCCAAGCTGGTTGGATACCTTCCTTTGCACCATCTTCAAAGAAAAACCAAAACCTGAGACATATCAAAGAACAAAGGATGAGACTTGAGGTTGGTTTTCCAAAATTTCCTTTCCTTCCCTTGTGGAAGAAAAGTAGTTTTCTTGGGGATTGTTTGAGGAATTCCTGAAAAGAGACAAAACCAATATGAAGAAGAAGATCCTTCCTGGTTTGGTTTATTTGATTCCAAGTCTTTAGTAGGTGGCCCTTTTGTTTATTATTTGAACAAAAGGGTTGAATTTTGGGTCCCTGTTAGCAATTTTCTGAATTGAATCATGACATTTGCATCCATGGGAATCTACATTTGCCACTCACTGTTTACTTATTTCTTAAGCTTTTTTTATTTTAAATGAAAAAATCTACGTTCGATTAGATGTTCTAACCCCATACTGAAATTACAGAAATACCCCTCATTTTGTGGATAAGCATCTCTGTGATTGTGTTTGTTGATGATACATATGGCTGTAATGTAAAACTTTGGCAGTATTGACACTTACCCCATCATGATTTTGTCCATTTTAAATACCATTTTTTTAAAGTCAAGTTTGAAAATGAAATGAATTAATAAATGGCATTTACAATTACATCGCCCTATATCTATTTGTCACTTGTGTTTTGTTTTACTTTCACATGCTTCAGGTAAAAGATTTGGAAAATGCTTGAGGGTATTATTGTAATTTCATTTTCTATAAGCACATTGTTTGTTAATAGAAAATGTCTTGAAGGAGAGAGAGTGGGCGGTAGGATAGGACTTTTATAAAAATACAAAGCAAAACGGTCGGCGGAAATGGGCCGCCCGTGGGACCTGAAAAGGTCCATTTACGCATACGCTCCTCTTTCTCCTTCTCCTTCCCCGATAAAAAAAGAAAGCATCATACCGTTACCCCCCCACCATCGCCACCCAAAAGTATGCATAAAAGTCAGATTAAAAAGAAAAAGAAAAGAAAACCCTTTTTAATTGTAAATTAATGGTTCTTAATTGCCTGGTTAAAGATTGTGTTTAAAAGAAGTTAGGATCTAGGTATGGTTCTTAATTACAATTAATATCATATAATGTTTACCAAACTTAATAATAAAGTCTAACGGAACCACTACTGGATAACCTGATGGTAAAAAGACAACAAAAAAAAAAAATCTAATATGGTCTTTTAAGTTCGAGTCTCCTAAATAGTAAAAAAGTAAAAGATAGATCTAATATGGTTTTCCAAGTTCGAATCCCCACAATTGCTACTAAGGATAGTCAATGAACCTTTTATCTGGCCGATGGTTTTAGAGTCGTGAAGGATTAATTAAGATATATACAACCTGACCTGGACATCTTCAATCATAAAAGACTCATTTTAGACAAGGAATTGGGCAGTTTGAATATTGTCGACCTAACCTAACCATTAATTTGACTTTAATTAAGGCATAACACCATTCAAATTAATCATATAATATATATAAATCATTTAACCATCTACATATTGACATGAATAACCCATTTGTTATCTTCCCTAATGGACAAGGAACCTTGAATTTCTCAGCTGATTATAGAACATAAGGTCCCATATGACATGTCACCTTTTTTTCATATTAAAAGTATTATATGTTAATTGCTATTTTCTGTACTCATCAAACTCCTTTTCATTCTTTAAGCAATTANAATTGGGCAGTTTGAATATTGTCGACCTAACCTAACCATTAATTTGACTTTAATTAAGGCATAACACCATTCAAATTAATCATATAATATATATAAATCATTTAACCATCTACATATTGACATGAATAACCCATTTGTTATCTTCCCTAATGGACAAGGAACCTTGAATTTCTCAGCTGATTATAGAACATAAGGTCCCATATGACATGTCACCTTTTTTTCATATTAAAAGTATTATATGTTAATTGCTATTTTCTGTACTCATCAAACTCCTTTTCATACTTAAGCAATTATAAACCCATTTCTTATTTTTCCTAATGGTCAAGGAACCTTCAAGATGATAATAACCCATCTTGCTGTTTGAACAAAACCGAGCTGCTCTTTTTGAACTTTGAAATCTAGTCTCATCTAGAAGGGTCACATTTTTATTTGACCAATTTACTTGGCCTTGTACATGTTAAGATATGATCAACAAAATACTTTTGCCTCCCAAGAGGGTCAAGCTCATACTTTTTAACAGCTCTTGAATTTAATAATTTTAAGTTTTGGAATTGGGATTTACTGTAAAAATATTGATGGGATTATTCATGAATATGGTTTATTGCCAGCATTGAAGCAGCAAAATTATTTGAAAACAAGGCAAAACGCCATGCTTCTTACAATCCTGACAAGGGAGGAGCGTGGAGTGGACACCCATTGGGACATTATTTCTGACAAAACTCTCACCATATATATGAGAAAGAGATCAGAAATTTAAAGACCAAAGTTGTGTCACCAAGCTAAAGAACAAAAACACTCCATGTTTGAGGCTAAGATGTGAACCAGTTTGAGCCTTTCTTTTACAGGAGTTGGCTTGAAATATTAGTATAAGTTATGATGACTCCACCACGTGGTTTGCATATAGAAGACAGCTCCATCTCCTTTTCATCATGTATAACTTTGGACATTTTATTACTGCCAAATTCTCCCACCAAATACCCCATCTCATCTTGTTCCCCTTTGACCGATTCTGAGATTATGTTAACAAGCTTCAAATGATCTGTAATCAAATAAGCTTACAAACCCACCAAGATTTTGTCAAAATTTTGCCAAATATGTATGTACATACATGAGAACTAAGCTACGCTCCCTCAAATGACGATTCTCAGATGTGGATATTGTACAAGTAAATAAAGAAAAACTATGTTGATTATCTATTAAAAGTATGTTATATTTGTCCAGGATACAGAGCTCCTTGAAAGTGTTCATGCTGCTAGTCAGAATCATACCTAACCACTATCAGATTGTCTGGGATGATTATAAACATGATTATGGACACATTAAACAAATAAATGAAGGTGATTACAGTGAGATTAGATGCTTCAAAGCAACTTTATGGCAAAGAAAAAGGTGAGTGGTGGATACTCTCTAAGATTCAGAACCATCTTTAGGAACAGTTCATATTCTTAATTCTTAAATAACAAGTTTCAGTTACTTTTAAGGAGGAGGATCTTATTGCAAATCTAAGAACAGTGAAATGACTAGTAAACTTATTCTAACTAATCAATGTTTATAAAAGCATTCATTTTCTTCGGATATTGTGGAGTGAGGACCCCCAAATGATAACATACTCCCGAAAAGTAAAGAATATTTAAATAGATAAAACCCCATTATGAATAATGGTGATAAATAATAGAGCCAAGAAGGGTATCAAACCAAAACTATGATCTGCTAAACTAGATTAGTGAAATACTTAATACCTAATGTTGGAATGAGGCATTATATATAAATATGATGCAATTCAATCAACTGAACTCTTTTTCTGCTGACTTGTATTACATAACTAAACCTCAAAACAGAGACTCCATTATTTCATCTTGAGTTCAATATGCACTGTATTTTTTAATATCAATATTTCCCTTGCATAATATGACCTCTCTGTGCCGCGAGCATGGCCGTGCCAAGAAAAATGTGCAGGAAAAAAACAAGGATTAGTTAGGTGTCACATAGATGTATGATTAAAGTGAGACATGCTTATTTATTCTAGACTTCCCTATGAATTATTTGCAACAAATAAACATGATAAACTAAATCACATGGACGCGTTGGATAACTCACAAAAAGATGGCTAATCATCAATCAGTTTCATACTAATTAGAGACAATGTGAATGAATGAAACATGAAAGCTGTCTCAAGAACATTTTACTCATTTTGTGGAGGCTGTGAACCAACTTTTCACTGAAAAAGAGAGCAGTATAAGTAACTGTAGAGCACCCTTGCCTATAGAATCAACTTTGAATCCCAGATCCCCCAAAACAAGGATGTTACTTTTATCATAAATAATATAGAGAGGACTTTACAATAATTCAAGATTTTCCTGTAGTGCTTTTATATTAATCAAGCATATGCAATAATCTAATTAACCACCCCAACCCAAATAATTGGCAGAAAAAAATCAAAAAACCATTAACCAAAGATCATAATCATCAGATAACCTATACTTAACTGTCAATTGAAGCTCATAAACAACTAGCATTATTTCAAGATGGTGACTAAATGCTTGCACAGTAATTAAATCATAACTAAATTGACAAGTTGGAGCAGGTGTCCAACAAATCAGCACTGATTGATAAATCATGAAATGAAGTTCAACTCTTAGAGAAATATGCTTTTTAATTTGCTTACGTTGGAGTTGGTGGGTTTACAAGGCGAATCAAAAAAAGATAATACATACTAAGGAACTTAAAAAATGAACATATTGTTGACTTTTGAAAGCAACAGCAAAATCAGGAACAATTAAGTCAATAACTAAAAATTCAACTTCCATGGCATCATCAGCAGCATCAGTACCATATGCCAATTATTTAAAAGTTTACAATCATATCTAGTCTGCAGCTAAGACTTTTATATCAAGTTCCAATTTCACCTCATCTCATACACAATAACTGAACATAAATTTATCTTGTATATGGCTACTATACTAGTCATCCCTACAAATACATCTCTTCTTCAACAGCCCATTTCCTCTTCATGACTAGTAGGTTCACTTTTTCTCCCAAGTACAATGTTTAGAAAGGAATTATCATGAAACAAGTGGGACTGGTTTAGATGGAGGTTTGTCTTAGTTCAACAGAAACTGTTCCATTCTTGTGGGGTCAGCTCCTCATTCCTATCTTTGACGGCAGCTCTAGTGAGTCATTATCAAGACTATATGCCCTATTGTAATGTAACTATCTAGAATGCAGTAACTTTTGCACAAGACATATAGCAGCTCTTATTTTACTATTTTTTTAAAGAAATTTTTTAAACATGGATTTAACTCTTTTGATACAATTGAATAACCTTGATACTATACATTTTGAGATACAAAACTGGTTAATTACATCCTAGTTGGATATTCTAAATTTCTAATTTATGCTCCCTTTCTGTACAGCAATAAAGAGTACTATTAAAATGGGAGAAACAAGAAAAATCATATATGGGAGGGCTTGACTCAGTGCACCTTCCTCCATGCCAGCCTCTTGGAGAAGGTAATTGGTTTTACCTTCAATAAAAGCCTCAAAATAGTTCTGGTACCCTGTGTTTTGAGGGAGATTTGAGCTTGTGACCTTCATCATTTCCATGGCCTATAATAATGATTTAAACCATTAACAAGTATTAAAGAAATGTAAGAATAGAAGAATGTGGAAGATCATGCTTCTCATGAGGAAATGATGAATTTCAAAACCAAAAACGCCCTTAAGAAACATTAAAACAATGTTCCTACTTTACTTTTCAACAGCCAAAAAAAGTAACTTGAACTACAGTCTCCTAATCTGACACTTTTTGCTACAGCAGACGGTAAAACATGCAAATATAATTTTTAGAAATCTGACAACAGTAACAATGGTACTTTTTAAGCTGGTTTGTTCAGAAGTCTCCAAGTTGGACATCAGAAAAAAGAGTCCTTGTTAGATAAGTTAACGTTTCCCAGAAGTTGAGTTTGTTCCCACACACACAAAATCATTACAGCATTTTATCAATACCTGAAAGCTGAACACAAATTGCTGGGCCCTCTTGCTCACCATGGCATTTGGGTGAGACTGAAGCTTCTCATACATAATTCGAGCCTCTTTTTGCCTGCGAGATTGCAACAGATTAGTATTTTCCCAACTCATGAGCTAAAGAAATATCTTATTAGGAGATAAAGGCAACGTATACATATACATATATGAATTCTCAGGTGCGGGCATCTACTTTTTCTTTTTCAGAATCCATACCTCAACTCTCGGCATTGTAAGTTAACTCTTGGAGGCATAAGTAGGCGAAAATGCAATGGTCTCTTCTTTTTATCAATATTTATACTAGGTGAAACACAATTACTAGATTGGGTTTTCATAGGATGCCAAACTCCTTTTAGGGTTCAATAATTAACAATAGCATATATATACCTACGAAGAGAATCCTGACAAATAGACCACTGCAAAGCAGCTAATCCATGAAGTTCACTCTGCACAAACAAAATATTATTTTCAATTAAATAAAATATAGGATCAAAAGATTATGAATCATGAAGCCAAGATGATGTTATGGTTTCACTAAATGATGTCACAAGTTGGCCACAGGTTGGGCAAATTAAATTAAATCAGACCAATTGCTAACTCACATTTAAGAAGTCCAGATAAATGAATCATTTCATCAAATCTCAAAGAACCATCGATTTGATTTTTTTTTTTTTAACAACAGTAAAAATCATTTTATGTTTGAAATAACAGGGTATGTGCGTGTATATAACTTTCTAAAAATTCAGACATGTTAAACAGTTGTCTACTCCCTAGTTTTCTTTCATTATTTACACAGAGGAAGGGAGGGAGAAGAGAACTCCTAAAGAGATTCTGACAATAATACTACAGCTCACAATTTGCAAATAATTATGTGGTTCCCATTTTTATTAGGCTTACCTTGAATGTCATTTTACTCATAACCTTTTCATAGTAAGGCAAAGCTTCCTTAAGCTTCCCAGAATCCATCAAGGAGTCACCATCCTTCAATGCCTATATTTACAAAGAATTAGAATTAGAGAAAAAATTATAAGATATTTCCTTTTCTCCAGGAATTAGAAGTTTAAAATTACATCTCTGTTTGAAGAATACCTTCTCACACTCAGATTTTAGCTTCGGATCTACATTTAAGCCAACCTTTTTCTTGTAGGCAGCAAGGAGTTCTCTAGTGCGCTTGTCTTTAGCAGCTCTATCTTCTGCTGTTTCAAGAACATCTCCAGGGCGAATAGTTCTTCCACCCCCAAACTTAACAAAAAAAGGAAGAAGGTTTATTATAAGATAAGATTCCCTACAGAGATTCAAAGGTGGCATCAAATCCACAACCATAGATATAGAAAGTTTGTGCTTATTCAACTACCAAGTGTGGCATATTCGTCTATCAAGTAGGTGCTTCACATGCTTTACTTTCTGCATGCTGAAAGAACTTTAAAAAACTTAAACACGCTAATGCCTTAAGACTAAACCTAACTGCTCATTATATCTGTCTTTGAAGAATATCACACATAAAAAGTTGCTACTTTTTAGGAATGAAATCCAAAAGTTCATCCCAAGCTATCAGCTAGCATCCTGGATATCCGTTACATATAATGATGCATTGTAGTTAACAAGAAAATTCATGCCTTTTAGCTACATGCATATATGTTTAAGCAAATTGTGAAGTCCATAAAGCACATACCGTCTTAGAAATATTGCCAGGCCTAGGAAAAACTCCCCATGTAGAAACCCTCGGCTTGTAAAGATCAGAATTGTCTTCTTGAATTGGCTCAGGCTTCGACACTGTTGTTTCCTCAAACTTGCTGGTGTCGCCAACAATTATCTCCACCTCAGGAATGTCACCTTCTGGAAAAGGATCAGACACTGGAACCAATCCAGCAGGCAGTGCCCTACCCTCCTTCTTATTGGCTAAGTTCAGACCCATAAAATCAATGTTTGAGACCCTCAGTTCTTCCTTCTTACCAACCCTCTTCTCCACAATTTCATTTGGCACGTTGCCCTTAACTTCTCCCTTCAAGCCTAAAATTAACCAATTCAAGATTTAGCAACCCTTTTTGCATTACAATATGTGTAGCTTTCGGTCCATCAATTTAACAAACCAAATTATATACTCCTTTCATCACCATAACTTGTAATATTGAAAGCAATAATTGTCAAAATTCGAATTTTCACATAAAAACATATCACAAGTTGGAGTAATAACTATAATACCTGAACTTGTTCCATTCTCAACATTCCCTTTGTTCCCCTTATACTCCTTTGCTTTCTCCATTGCAGCCTTAACTGAAGCTGGAATTTTTTTATCACCATCACCCTTCAGGGCCGAATCTATATCCGGGTTTTGCTCGGTTTTAGAATCTGGGACCGACTGTATAGTCTTCTTATAGGCCTTGGCTTTTTCAAAAGCGAGCTTTACAGGTTCTAGTGGGGGTTCTGGCGAGTCGTCTGAAGTGGCTCGTGAAGAAGATTGTTCAGCATTGTTGGACGATGAATTGACTGAGAAGGAGAGTTTGAAAGAAGTGAACTTTGGCTTGGTGGAGGAGATTGTTTTGATGGTGTTGAAAGAAGATAGCCATGGTGGTTGCAGACAAGTCATGGTCCTGGTAAAGGTGAGTGTGAAGTGAGTGGCCATGAGANGAATTTTTTTTTTTTAACAACAGTAAAAATCATTTTATGTTTGAAATAACAGGGTATGTGCGTGTATATAACTTTCTAAAAATTTAGACATGTTAAACAGTTGTCTACTCCCTAGTTTTCTTTCATTATTTACACATAGGAAGGGAGGGAGAAGAGAACTCCTAAAGAGATTCTGACAATAATACTACAGCTCACAATTTGCAAATAATTATGTGGTTCCCATTTTTATTAGGCTTACCTTGAATGTCATTTTACTCATAACCTTTTCATAGTAAGGCAAAGCTTCCTTAAGCTTCCCAGAATCCATCAAGGAGTCACCATCCTTCAATGCCTATATTTACAAAGAATTAGAATTAGAGAAAAAATTATAAGATATTTCCTTTTCTCCAGGAATTAGAAGTTTAAAATTACATCTCTGTTTGAAGAATACCTTCTCACACTCAGATTTTAGCTTCGGATCTACATTTAAGCCAACCTTTTTCTTGTAGGCAGCAAGGAGTTCTCTAGTGCGCTTGTCTTTAGCAGCTCTATCTTCTGCTGTTTCAAGAACATCTCCAGGGCGAATAGTTCTTCCACCCCCAAACTTAACAAAAAAAGGAAGAAGGTTTATTATAAGATAAGATTCCCTACAGAGATTCAAAGGTGGCATCAAATCCACAACCATAGATATAGAAAGTTTGTGCTTATTCAACTACCAAGTGTGGCATATTCGTCTATCAAGTAGGTGCTTCACATGCTTTACTTTCTGCATGCTGAAAGAACTTTAAAAAACTTAAACACGCTAATGCCTTAAGACTAAACCTAACTGCTCATTATATCTGTCTTTGAAGAATATCACACATAAAAAGTTGCTACTTTTTAGGAATGAAATCCAAAAGTTCATCCCAAGCTATCAGCTAGCATCCTGGATATCCGTTACATATAATGATGCATTGTAGTTAACAAGAAAATTCATGCCTTTTAGCTACATGCATATATGTTTAAGCAAATTGTGAAGTCCATAAAGCACATACCGTCTTAGAAATATTGCCAGGCCTAGGAAAAACTCCCCATGTAGAAACCCTCGGCTTGTAAAGATCAGAATTGTCTTCTTGAATTGGCTCAGGCTTCGACACTGTTGTTTCCTCAAACTTGCTGGTGTCGCCAACAATTATCTCCACCTCAGGAATGTCACCTTCTGGAAAAGGATCAGACACTGGAACCAATCCAGCAGGCAGTGCCCTACCCTCCTTCTTATTGGCTAAGTTCAGACCCATAAAATCAATGTTTGAGACCCTCAGTTCTTCCTTCTTACCAACCCTCTTCTCCACAATTTCATTTGGCACGTTGCCCTTAACTTCTCCCTTCAAGCCTAAAATTAACCAATTCAAGATTTAGCAACCCTTTTTGCATTAAAATATGTGTAGCTTTCGGTCCATCAATTTAACAAACCAAATTATATACTCCTTTCATCACCATAACTTGTAATATTGAAAGTAATAATTGTCAAAATACGAATTTTCACATAAAAACATATTTCAAGTTGGAGTAATAACTATAATACCTGAACTTGTTCCATTCTCAACATTCCCTTTGTTCCCCTTATACTCCTTTGCTTTCTCCATTGCAGCCTTAACTGAAGCTGGAATTTTTTTATCACCATCACCATTCAAGGCCGAATCTATATCCGGGTTTTGCTCGGTTTTAGAATCTGGGACCGACTGTATAGTCTTCTTATAGGCCTTGGCTTTTTCAAAAGCGAGCTTTACAGGGTCTAGTGGAGGTTCTGGTGAGTCGTCTGAAGTGGCTCGTGAAGAAGATTGTTCAGCATTGTTGGACGATGAATTGACTGAGAATGAGAGTTTGAAAGAAGTGAACTTTGGCTTGGTGGAGGAGATGGTTTTGATGGTGTTCAAAGAAGATAGCCATGGTGGTTGCAGACAAGTCATGGTCCTGGTAAAGGTGAGTGTGAAGTGAGTGGCCATGAGATGTACATTCCTAAAATATTTCAAGTACATGTCAAAATAATAATTGTCTATGTATATCTTGAAATTCGGATTTATTTATTAAAAAAAATAAGAACCTGTAAGTAATTACCAGAATATATTAAATTTGATTTCTTTTCATCAAAGATATTTGACACTTCGAGAGGCTAATAGCAACCCACCGCCATAGAAATAGGAATCGACCTGAGACTATACACTCATCCACACAACAGCCGAACAATACAGGCTACCTACTACGGATTCTCAGAAAGGATTAAAAAATAAAAATCATGACCAAATAAATTAAGATGATCTTATTATTTGTTAAAGGGATTCCCAAGTGATTAAATACAAATCAATGTCTTTTCTGCAATTAACTTGGAAATTACACTTTATGCAACCTGCTAATCAACAGCAATATCAATAATATATAGCCAATCAATTCGGTTCCAGCTAGAAGAAATACAAGTACAAACTACAAAGTGAAGCATTGTTTCTTCATTTTTTTTTTTTTTTTTTTTTTTCACAATGAGCAGTCTCCATCAAAATGTCCAACGGCAGTTAAATCCAAAGGCAGAGATCAAATTCTCTTACCATCCTGTATTTTTATTATTAGCATAGAATACAATTATTCAATGATTGCCCGAGTTTGACCTTACTAAGTTGCCATTGTAATACCAAGCAGGGCACCTACCCTCCTTGAATAGCTCATGTGAACAGGAATTTTTTATCATCTAAAGACCCTAAAGATGTGGTTCACACTTGTGAAACCTCCATCAACCATGAGATTAGCTCCACTTATGTACCTAGCTTCATCGCTTGCTAGGAAGAGCACGGCATTAGCCACATCTTCAGGCATCAATTCCACTCCCTGCAAGTTAGCATTTCGCCCAGTAAAATCACGGAAACCAGCCAGGGCATCCTCTGTCCTCTCCTCCTCAGGCAAGTGAGCCAAAGCCAAGCCTGTTGCAACTGCATAAGGAGAAACACAGTTCACACGTATCCCATATTTTCCCAGTTCAGCTGCAACATTCTTGTTGAGCCCCAAAACAGCATGCTTCGACCCTGTATATGCATGAGGGCCAATACCCCCAATGGCACTTGCGACACTGCATATGGAAATGATACTGCCCTTATTTTGCGGGATCATGATCCGAGCTGCATGTTTCATTCCGTGGAAAACTCCCTTCACATTTATGTCAAATACCTTCTCAAACTCTGATAAGTCCACATTCCGGATGTCAGGACAAGGTGAACCTGAAATCCCAGCATTGTTGACCATGATATCAAGTGTGCCAAATTTATCAACTGCAAAGTCAACAGCAGAGTGCACATCCTCCTCCTTTGTGACGTCACAATGGAAAAAACAAGCCTTTGGATCACCATTAAGGGAATCAGACACCAGCTGACCAAGATTGTCCTGCACATCTACTATGCATACTTTGGCACCGTGCTTGTGAAACTGTCGCACAATGCTCTCTCCAATCCCTGTTGCTCCACCTGTGACCAATGCTACTTTCCCCTCTAATCTGAGGACAAAAAAGAGGAAGAACATAGAAAGTTAATACAATCAAAAAGTTGCGGTAGGACAGCAATTTGCCTCTTAGACTGTTTAGGAGTTTGCAAATTTTGCAGAAAGACACCTTCGTCCTGAAGACTTCTTCCAGTGACAACTTCTGGTATATTTTAGATTTGAGTTTAGATGCTAAATGCAAAGGTGAAGTTGATATCACAAGATTTGAAACCCATGTAATTTTTAGCAGACAACATCAACATCAACATCCCAGAGCTGATGCTATTATACAACAAAAAGCAACCTAATGTTTCATTAGAGTAAGGCATTGTGTTATCATCAAAGTTACCTAACAACAAAGGTTCCATCTCCACTTAGAATCCCACCTTAACCCAAAATTCTGATTTAAGTGATCCACTGGGCAAGAGCAAAGTTATCTTTTACCATAGTATGACACACATAATTCCACTGGTTCGAGAACTACTTCAGAGGTGCCACTAATGGATTTAAACATGATATGAGCAGAAAGGCATATATAAGAGCTGACAACATGGCTGGAATGTCCTACAATTTTAAGCTTAAAAATGCTCTTACTAACCAGTTCTCACCTTCCAGATAGCCTTAAAAGTTTACTTTAATTCTACTTAAGAGTCATCATTTTCAGATCAAGTGTACTTGGCTATTAGTTTGAATAAGCAAACCCAAAAGTACAAGTTCTGTGATGCAGGTTGAGTACTTCTGTTCAAAGTAATAAGACAATCAAAACTCATAGGCGCACGTCAATCTTTCTTGTTTATCCATCTCAGTCTTTCTAGTTTGAATAATACTACACCAACAACCCTCTTTCAAAAATTTTCTCTTATAACACTGAAGTGGGAGCTTGTAATTGGTCAGTCCACAACGGGTCTCACATAGATCTCGCATGAATCCCACTATTTAATTGCAAGTTGCCACGCCAGGGTTATGAAAGAAAGTTTGTGAAAGAGGGTTGTTAGTGTAACATTACTCTTTTAGTTTATTGTTTGCAAATATTATCTTTCTAGTACCAATCCCCGAGAGACACTAGCGTATTATCTTATCTATCTAAGAAAATGACCGCAATAATTCAAAGGAATTCTGAGCCCTACATCGGTTATTTCAATCTCCAATGGTAGATAACCCTAACTTATCCTTTCATATGGTTTCCTAACAAGTTGTGAAACACTACTATAATGGAATAGTCAACATCATTATGTTTTTACCTTCAGCAACTAATTTAAAGATGCCTTGCAAAATATACACTAAAAAGGAAATTCCCAGCCTGACTCGAGTTAAAATTTGAACCAGATAAATTAGTTTGCAATGAGAAAAACAACCACAGAATAGAAAATAATCCAAACACTGGATATAAGGTTGGAGATCCTTATCTATTTTTATCAATTTTGCCAGTACTTATGGAAAATAACTGGAAATTTTGGGATATCAAAATAATCAAACCAAATAATTCAGAAGACTTAAAAGATGATATTAAAATTCTTCTATGAAATATGAAACTGGAAAGAAAAGAAAACTTTTAATTCTTTTTTGGCATGATGGAGCAAAAATAGTAACAACGAAGAAACAAAATCAAAGTGCGGGACATTGATTGATATAAAACTAGCCCATTTGGTGAAAAAGATTGGTGAGTTTACTTACAACCCAGACAGAGAAGAAGCAACTAATGTAACCCGGAATCTGAACCAACCCAGATAATCTCAGAGTCAAAAATAGAAAATTAAATGACTGGAATGGGACAAGAGTTAACTTGAGCTCAGTAAGTTACAAGCTTTGATCTGATACTATAATCACAACAAAAAACCCACCAAAAACTCAGACTATTCTCTAGGAAAAAAACACGAATCTCGTGAATTAAATGAAGTATAAAATGAGAAAGTTTACTACCTTTGAGCATGAGCAGACGAGTGAGCCGAGTTGGAGTTGGTGGAGGACATGGCTGGTGGAGAGTTTTGCACAGTTGTGTCTGAGAAATGAGAATCTCAAGACGAAAGCACAAACAGGCTAGCTTTGACTAGCTTTCTGTGCTGTGCTCACAACAGTTAAACCAAAATATTATCCAATTGCAACTGTTGCTGTGATATTGCGAGGCGCTTTCTTATTTGTGATTGTGACATGCAAAAACACGTAAATTATAATTAAGAATTAAAATATCAATCCTATTAATCACATGAGTGATCTCATGATTAATTAAAACTCTTAGATATATTATTCAATAAATCTCAAGTTTGATTCATCTGAGTTACTAATCAGAATAGCTATTGAAGAAGTTTACCCGACTATCAACTTTAGGACATTGAGAAATTAGTTAAGGTGCACGTAAGTTGGTTGAAGCACCCTCGATCATATAAAGAAAAAAAGAATCCTAATAGAAATAAAATGTTTTATATATACGGGAGAAAACTAATTTAAGGTTATGAATCTTATTAATCACCTAAATGACCCAACGGTTAATTAGGATTCTTGGGTATATTACTCAAGAAGTTATGAGTTTGATTCACCTGAGTTACTAATAAGGGTGGGCACTGAGGCGGTCTATCTGGCTGTTAACTTTAGGACCCTAAAAGATTAGTTAAAGTACGCGTAAGCTGGTTTGAACACCCTCAATCATTAAAAAAAAAAAGAATCCTATTAGAAATAAAAAGTTTCATATATACTGGTGAAAACTAATTTAAGGTTATAGAAGAATATGATAATACAAAATGTTTGATTTAAGGGTCATATACCGCGTTTATGGAGTTAAATGCATTTTCTATGTTATTTTTCGTTACGCAATTTCCTAAATTGACCTTCCTCTATATGTATATGTTAAGAATTTCACTTCAAGAGATGATGATGAGTAAAAGGCTCCCCCTCTTACTCAGATTCTTTCTTTGATTATCTTCTCCATTTCTTGATCATATAGTAATATTATACTCACAAATTCTTCTCACTAACTTTCTCTCACAAATGCGGTATATAATCTTATAATTAGTCAACTCATAATAGGTCTTATCTGTCTAATAATGAGTCCTGTCTGCCTAAAGGTGAGCTGATATATCAGCGTTTGTGAAACGTCTCTGAAAAATGTTTGTTAACTTATATTTTATTGTAAAAATATCTAGGGGTGCGTTTGGTTTATTATTTTGGATAGGATTTTGGGGATAGTATTGGATAATTGAATATGTGAGTATTACGAGGTAAAATTTAAAAATTTATAAAAAAAACCCCCTAAGTTTGCTAATTTAATAAATACCCCAACATGTAAAATGACAAAAATACCCCCACCACCTACAGTGCCAGATTCCGGCCACCACTGTCAGAATCTGGCCGAAAAATTGCGTTACGACACAGACCGGTCGAATCTGTGTCGTAACGCGTCTTTATAGCCTTTTCCGGCCAGATCCACCACGGATCTGATCAGAAACGTCCAGATCTATGGCGTGTCGTGGCCGTCGACGGCCGAAAAAGGCCAAAACGACTTCCATCTTTGGCCGTCATTTTCGGTCAACGATGGCCAAGATTTGGCCGTCGTTCACGGCCAGATCGGTGAACTATTGGCCATTTATGGTCTGCAGGTAGGCCGTTGTACAGACTCCGGCTACCACCAATGGTGGTTGCCGGAATCTGGCAAGTGTGGGTCACGGGGGTATTTTTGATAATTTTTAAACTTTTTTTCAGGGTGTATTTGATGAAATTAATAACCTTATAGGGTCTAAAAGTAATTAAAAAAATAGGGTAATATTTCTGGAATAATGTGCCAAATATTATTTGGAGAATAGGATTGAGAATAAGGATAAAAATAATAAGCCAAACATGGCCTAGATTGTGACAAAGTTCCATCAACAGAGTCAGAGAAGCATAAGGAACTCAAACCACTTATATATGGTTTGGGCTGGTAGTGTGTAGCCCAAATTGAGGCTATAATCGGCCTAAGCTAAGCATCTAAATCTAGAAATTGGCCCAGCCCAAGGATACAAATATGCGCCTTACATTAACTAAAGAAAGAGCAGCAAATTTCAGTGTTCATCACTGGTTCTTACTGAACCAATCTAAAACCCTAATCAATAAATTTTCATTCAAAACCCTCAAATTCTCGTTCTCTTCATTTCTTTACTATACCTTGACGATGACCAAGGTTTACGGTACTGGTGCCTATGATTTCAAGCGGCATCGGGTCGCGGAGTACCCGGTGGAGTTGCCGAACCAGCTCGGCGACAAACCGGTGGAGTCAAAGGCCGGTTCGACGCTGCCAAGTTCTATTACTCTCTCGGAAATTCAACGCGATAGGTTGACGAAAATAGCTTCAGAGAATTGGCTTAAAGCGGAGAAGGCGTTCGATGCGGAGCTGGTGAAGGACATTTATACGACTGAGTTAACGGTCAAGGAGGGGAGGAAAACAGTGCCTTTACATAGAGTGATGATTTTGGAAGTGAGTCAGTATTTGGAGAATTATCTGTGGCCGAATTTTGAAGCGGAGACGGCATCGTTTGAGCACGTGATGTCTATGATGCTCATGATTAATGAGAAGGTAAATGTTTTTTTTTTTTTTAACTGAATATATTGTTTATGGGACAGTGTATTTTGTTTTTATGAATTTAATTTTTGATATATTTGCAGTTTCGGGAGAATGTGGCAGCTTGGATGTGCTTTTACGATAGGAAGGATTTATTCAGGGGATTTCTCGAGAGGGTTCTTCGTCTCAAGGAGGTTTGTGATACACCATTTTTCTTTTTAAATTGGAATTGATAATTTAAGCTTTTCTGTTTGGATGGGGAGAAATGATGTGAAGTTGAGAATGAAGATTAATTTTAAATTTTTTTATTGTTTTGAGGTGAGTGGTGAAAAGAACAAAATTAGTATGAGTAACTTGTGGAGAGATTTTTGAGGGAACTGAATAAAAACTCTAATGAAAATATAACACAATTAAAATTTGAATATTGAGCTCTTTGTTTATATGTGTCTGAATTGCACCACTGTTTAAGAAGCATGTTGCTTTATTTTATATATTTTCTGTTGGCATGTGTAAATTTGTTAAGACAGTCTGATCTTTTTTAGACTGATTTATTGAATCTATATATGGTTGTAGGGAAGAGACCTAACTATAGCTGAGAAGACGAATTATCTGGTTTTCATGATAAACGCCTTTCAGGTATGTTAGTTTCCTAACTTTGCCTTTATTAGATACATTAAATATATACTCCTACTTGTTGGATTTTCTCTCTGCCCTTTGGTTGAGGTTAGTTTTAAGGATCTCTTACGGCAAGGGAATAATTAATATCTTAAAGAAAAAAAGATGTTTTGTTTTCTGTTGTTTATTTTGCTGCATAGTGGATAAAGTTCTTTTATCTATTTTTCCCTAGAGCTAGCTTGATGTTTTCATACCAGTTTCAATTACCATTAAACTGCACAATTTTTTTTAATTTGATTTTTTTTTTATTGATGAAGTATTGTTTATGAAATTTCAAATGTTTATTGGCTTTTCTTTATTTTGTCAAATCATTTTATTCACAGAGTTTGGAAGATGAAATTGTCAGCGATACTGTCCTGAAGCTAGCTAGTTTAGAGTGCTGGCATAGTTTGTCTTATGGTCGTTTTCAGGTAAGAAATGCTCTCTGTTATCTTTGTTTCATGCTAGATGTAAAGTAGAGTTCTTTTTTATGCATGATTTGCTTCTGTCTCTGTAGATGGAGCTTTGCCTTAATCCAGATTTGATCAAGAAATGGAAGAGGATGATAAAGAGAGAATCTAAAGAGGCTGCGAAACGAGGAGAGCCTTTTGACCCCTCATCATCGCTTGAAGTGAAATTCTTGAGGAATCTTATTGAAGAGTTTCTTGAGGTACTGTTTTACTAAATTAATATATAGTTGTATCTTTATAGTGTTTTAATTTCCAATGCCCCACAATTTTAAAACTAACATTTTACAACTTCTTAATGTTTACCAGGTGCTAGACCACAAGGTTTTTCCACAAAAGCACTCTGTCAATGGTGGTGATGATATTGCTGATGCTTATGGTTTTGAGCGAGTTGATGACGCTTGTGTCTTGTACTGTGAGAGGTTTATGGAATTTCTTATTGATCTATTGAGCCAACTGCCTACAAGAAGGTTTGATTGCTACTAGAGTCAGTCTTTTTTTATTTTGTTAAATTTCCTTTGGTGAACTTATTTCTGGTCATCACTTGGAACATTTAGGCTGCCGAACAGTTGAGAGCTTTTGAGCTTTTGCTATATCTTAAGTCTTTCAGCTGGTCTTGTTTGATGGACTTTAACCTGAGATTAGCCTATTAAAAAGAAAAAAAAAATGTTTCCTGTTCTTTTAGATTATAGAAATTACTTTCTAAGATTTGTTATTAGTTGGCATTTATATGCTTCTTATACTGGTGAAAGGTGAGATTTTCTTGTACATCTGATTATATCATGATATGTTGCGTCATTCTTATATTGTATATGCTATTTCTCATTTTTGGTTCGGTTTTGCCGGTACAGGTACCTTAGGCCTCTTGTTGCTGATGTAGCAGTTGTTGCTAAATGTCATTTGAGTGCTCTTTATAGACATGAAAAGGGAAAACTCTTTGCGCAATTGGTTGACTTACTACAGTTTTATGAAAATTTTGAGATCAATGATCATGTTGGCACACAACTGACTGATGATGAGGTTTTACAATCTCATTATGATCGTTTCCAATCTTTCCAATTGCTTGCATTTAAGAAAATCCCCAAGGTGTGTCATAGATAATCTCGTTTAGTTTGTATATTGTTTCACTTTTAAAAATCAGCTGCTAAGAAATTTGGGACCAGTTACTCGTTATGGTTGTTCTTTGCAGTATCTAAATTTTTCCTGTATGGTGCTTGCAGTTACGAGAACTGGCACTGTCCAACATTGGCTCAATCAACAAGCGAGCTGATCTATCAAAGAAATTGTCAGTACTCTCTCCTCAAGAGCTACAGGATCTTGTTTGTTGTAAGGTTTGTAGATGGCTAATTTATACGTTTCTAGAAGTATCTTTCTGAATACTCTACTAATTTAGAATACTGTGTGAATCTTTGATCTCCTGACATTTACTACCTTGTGCAGCT